GCATCAATTTAGGAAGTGAAAAGACAGAGAAGAGACAGAATAGTAGCAGCCACCATTTGTGGAAGTTCTTAGTATGTGCTAGGCACTGCGCTAGGTGCTTTTCATACCTGTCTCTAATCCAAACAACGCAGCCATCATGGGGTCTTATCACAGTACAGGGGAGGAACCAGGCTTGAAGGAGGCGAGAATCTTGTCTAAAGTGACACAGCTCCACAATGGGGTCTTGTGAACCCAAGTCTGACTAATGTCAACCAAAAGATAGTGGGGAAATGGTGAAGGGACACACACAGGGACATAGAAGAGGTAAATATATACAGAGACAGAAAAACAAGCCACATCAGGGCACATATTGATGAAGCACATTCGTTTTTGAAGGACACTCATGACATACTGGATTATACCTAAACGAGAGGTTGTCATTGTCCTTTGAGCATATATATGCCACTTGCAATATAACCCGGCCCTTTGTGTACCCAGAGTCAGTCCTTTTGCTTTTGTTTTCAAAACATTTTAAAAATATTTATTTTCTCGAGTCCTACTCAGTTTCATACATAGAGGAAGCAATGTCACAGATTCCAGATACTGACTTTCAAATCCGGAATGTTAGATCATTTTGTCCATGCCAAATGAACTTGACTGTCCACTTGCTATACACACAGATTACAAATATTGAAAGGATATTGTGGTTTTACCCGTGATAGCAATCTAAGTGCCCAACAATAGGTGGCTTTACAACTATGGAATACTATGTAGCTGTTCAAAAGAACATGACAGACCTCTATGTACTGATGTGAAATAATCTAGAAGAAAATAGAAAAAATGCTAGGTACAATAGATATGTATGCCAAGTTTATATTAAAAAGTCAGATACATATTTCTGCTTATAACTGGAGAAATTGGTAGGTGGTTGCTCTGGGGAAGGGGAACTGGGATCAGGGGTAGGAAGAAGACAATGCTTTGCACTCACTGTATACTCATGTATTTTGTACTTTTTTTCCCACCAAAAGCAAGGATAGTCTCTTTAAAAAAATCTTTATTTTAAACCAAGCAGTTTATTGTGTCTTCCCTCCAAGCCAAATCCACTTTTGGAATCTCACAGGGTCTGGGTGGTACACTTTTCCCTTCTCCAGTGATGAGACAGGCAGAGCCTCCTTCCTCTCCTTCCCATTTCTTTCTCCCTCTCTTCAACCAAGTCCACCTATTTGTGTCTTAAAAAAGAAAATAAAAAAACCAAAATAACTTACTCATCCATGTTCATTGAAAATACATTTAAGTAAAAGGAAAAATAAAGTACTCATACTACCAGTTTGTATTTTAGGGTGTATGTTCTTCTATATATTTTTCTATGCATATATACATACACACACACTTACAACTGCTTTTTCACTTAATAAATTGAAATCTTGAGGAATTTTTTGAAAAAATTAATATTAATTTTATTTATTAAACCAATCCCCTCTAACATAGTATTAAATTGTTTCCAACTTTTACTGTCACAAGCAATGCTGTGATGAATACTCTTGTACACAAACCTTTGTATTAGGTTATGTAAGAAATGTCTGATTTCCTTACGTAGTAAGTTTGACAGCTGCTATCTCTGACGTTTCACTTTGACACTTGTTTTATTATACAAGTCCATTTTTTCCTTAGAATAAATTTGTAAAACAAAAGTAGCTTCATCACCAGTTTGTTACATTTGCCTTCCAGCTCCACCTGTTGTTGCTCACTGCACCCTTTATTTATTTATTTATTTAGTTTTTTTGAGACAGAGTCTCACTTTGTTGCCCAGGCTAGAGTGAGTGCCATGGCATCAGCCTAGCTCACAGCAACCTCAGACTCCTGGGGCTCAAGCACGATCCTTCTTTGCCTCAGCCTCCCGAGTAGCTGGGACTCACGCATGCGCCACCATGCCCAGCTAAATTTTCCTTATATATTAGTTGGCCATTAATTTCTTTCTATTTATAGTAGAGACGGGGTCTCGCTCTTGCTCAGGCTGTTTCAAACTCCTGACACTTGAGCATCCGCCTGCCTCGGCCTCCCAGAGTGCTAGGATTACAGGCAAGTGAGCCACCTCGCCTGGCCACTGCACCTCTTTTTCAACCAGCCACACTTTCCCAGGCCAAAGCTCCAGTCTGAGACCATTTCTTTCCTACATGGAGAAGTGTAAAACATGCTTCCTGCTTAGCATATTTTTCTATCCTCCCTTGAATAACCCTACCTTCTGGACATCTGCTTTTTATTCAGTTCAACCCTAGAGAATTGGTTTTATTTATCTATTTGCTTTTTTCTTGGCTCTAAACCATTAGTTTATTCCGAAATCCTTTAACAACTCCTCAGGCTGTGTTTTTTTCCTTTTAAAAACTTTTCTTAGGCCGCGCGGGTGGCTCGCCTGTATCCTAGCTCTCTGGGAGGCCGAGCGGGCGGATTGCTCAAGGTCGGAGTTCGAAACCAGCCTGAGCAAGAGCGAGACCCGTCTCTACTATAAATAGAAAGAACTAATTGGCCAATAATATATATAAAAATTAGCGGGCATGTGGGCGCATGCCTGTAGTCCAGCTACTTGGGAGGCTGAGACAGAAGATCGCTTGAGCCCAGGAGTTTGAGGTTGCTGTGAGCTAGGCTGATGCCACGGCCTCACTCTAGCCTAGGCAACAAAGCGAAACTCTGTCTCAAAAAAAAAAAAAAAACAAAAACTTTTCTTAGGCCGGGCGCAGTGCCTCACACCTATAATCCTAGCACTCACTCTGGGAGGCTGAGGCGGGCAGATTGCTCAAGGTCAGGAGTTCGAAACCAGCCTGAGCGAGAGCGAGACCCGTCTCTACTATAAATAGAAAGAATTAATTGGCCAACTAATATTAGAAAAAATTAGCCGGGCATGGTGGCGCATGCCTGTAGTCCCAGCTACTCGGGAGGCTGAGGCCACAGGATTGCTCGAGCCCAGGAGTTTGAGGTTGCTGTGAGCTAGGCTGACACCACGGCACTTACTCTAGCCTGGGCAACAAAACGAGACTCTCACACACACAAACAAACAAACAAACAAAAAAACCCCTTTTCTTAGTTTATGTACAGAATAATAAAACAAAACTAGTATAAATCACAGTAAAGCTAATATTTATCTAGCGCTTACTGTGTGTTAGACATTGTGCTAAGTGCTTTATACACCTTAAATAATTTACTGTTAATTGGAGTTACATGAAAAGTGTTCCATGGTCAAATACTATTGGGGAAATAATGCATTAAAAAACTTTAATAATAATACCTTTAATATGTTAATATACATTTACAAGATGGTAAAAAGATAGTTAAGTGCAAATTATTTAACAGGGCCTTTTTTTTTGGTCAAAAAGCATCTTGAGGAGCTATTACTCCCAAGAACACATTTTTGCAAGACTGTCCTTAAATCTTAGATAGAGGCACTTGCAGCCCACCCTCCTCCCCCAGTGCCTATAAACCATGCCATTTTGAAATTTTTCTTTTCATTGTCGTGATAATACACTGAAAATACACAAAGTAAAAGGAAAAAAATACAAAAAAGCATCCACACTACCATTCTCCATAATTGGGATATATGTCCTTTTCTGCATTTTCTATGTATACATATATACATGTACTTATACATGACAAGCTGTCCAGTTTCTCTGATAAGTTGCTATCTCTCCATCTTTTTCCCACTCCCTACCTGGATTTCCAGCACTCAAAGCAGAATCAGGCCGGGCGTGGTGGCTCATGCCTGTAATCCTAGCACTCTGGGAGGCTGAGGCGGGAGGACTGCTCAAGGTCAGGAGTTCAAAACGTGCCTAAGCGAGACCCCGTCTCTACTAAAAATAGAAAGAAATTAATTGACCAACTAAAAATATATTACAAAAATTAGCCGGCATGGTGGGTGCCTTGTCTCAGTACTTGGGAGGCTGAGGCAGGATTGCTTGAGCCCAGGAGACTGAGGTTGCTGTGAGCTAGGCTGATGCCATGGCACTCACTCTAGCCTGGGCAACAAAGAGAGACTCTGTCTCAAAAAACAAAAACAAAAAAACAAACAAACAAACAAAAAAGCAGAATCATACCCCTAGGCCAAGAAGCCAAGTTCCCTACCTGAATTTCTAAGTTTGAATTTTTGTTTTTTTTTCTCCCTGCCCACCCCCAAATTTTTTCTGTATTTTTCTCTCAGTAATACTTTTTCTAGAAGTGTTCTTTAAGTAGAGCTTTAAAAGATGATCCCTTTTGTGAATAACTTCCATATCTATGTCAAGCCCTGACCCTGGTAGCATCAAATGCTCACACCCTGTTACCCAAAGAAAGGACCTAGTGAGCCAGTTTCAGACTCCCACACTCGGCCCTCCCCTACTAATTCAAACGCACACCTCACATCAGACTGCCTGCTTCCTGCTTCTTCCTGACTCTTGCCAATTCCCACCTATCCCTGGAGGCTCACCTCAAGCGCCATCCATTTGACCAAGACTGCCTAGATCACTCCAGTCCCACTTCTCCCCTCTACTCAATTCAAACGTCAGATGGCAAAGACCACACTTTTTCTACAAATTTTGAACCATTATCTTTTAACATGACTCATGGAGTTGCTAATTGTTTGTGAATATATTGAGGGTGGGGGCTGTGTCCTTTATTTCTGTATCTCACTGTGCCTAGCACAGTACCATACAGACAACAGCTATTCAACCACTACTGAAAGGATGTGATTTTTTTTTTCCCCAAGAGACAGGGTCTCGCTCTGTTGCCCAGGCTGGAGTGCAGTGTCATGATCATAGCTCACTGCAGCCTTGAACTCCTGGGCTCAAGCAATCCTCCCACCTTAGCCTACTGAGTAGCTGGGATTACAGGCGTGGGCCACCGCATCCAGCTATTTTTTGTAGAGATGGGGTCTTGCTATGTTGCCCAGGCTGGTCTAAGCCTCCCAAAATGCTTGAATTACAGGTGTGAGACATTACACCTAGCCACGAATGTGATATTAAAATCCAATTAACACAATAATACAACAGACACGAGAATAATATGTACATTCCTCTTTATTTAATACAACAAACACGTAACACATACAAAAAGAAAAACAACACTCATGTAAAAGGCCCTGTCACAAAGGATAGACAGGAAACATCTACACTGAATCAAATAAGGCTCTTGCTTCAAAACAGGGGTTTGCTAGCTACACCTGGAATATGAGCAAGGCTGTTGCAAAAAAAATATAAAATAAACAAAAATCCCTGCACTGAAGGAGTATATCCATAGAGTTAATTTACTAAATTCACAGATCCATATTTAGGAATGTTTATGCCCTCTCACATATCCAAAAGTCATCAGGTTTATGAAATGCATGATATTTTTTGGTTAAAAAATTTACCTGCCCCCACCACCCTTTTTTAGGAAAGAGTGACCAGAGCTTTCTAAAAACCAGAGCCCAGCAAACCACCCAAAGTTTGAAATGTTGTACTATCAAAGTTCAAAGGGCATGTAGAACTGAGAATGCAAAGGCAAGATGGCAGTGGGAAGAAGAATTTAACTTATAAGTCATTTCCTGGTAGCTGCTAGCATTTAATCAACCATATGGAAAATGACAAAATGGAAATACCTCGGCTCAGTGCAGGGTTCAGTAGCAGCAGTTTGTCCATATTCCTGCTCCAATTTGAGCTGGAAATCAAACAAGCACCAGTTCATCTCAAAAGAGCCTTATGCAAACACACACACATACATACCCACACCCATTCACATGTCGTCACCACCCCCTTTTATTTAAATTTATTATTATTATTTTTTTACTAAAATAATACAAAAAAGGGAAACAGGTATATTTACAAAAATCCATGGCTGGTACAGTACATAATTTTTAAGACACACTAAATGCTACAATCTTTCAGGTCCTGAGATTATTACAAATACCAACTCAAAGCTTGTGTTCAGGTCCAGTTTTTAAAGGAGGGGAAAAAGCTCCCAAAATATTAAGTCACACACTTATTTGAAATACAGTATATCCCTTCAAGTTAGCAAAAACACCTCCCTATAAGCAAATGCAACACAGTGATTCGTGCCTTTTACCTAGAGGATCATAAATCGTTCAGGCTCCTTCAAGACTGGTTTCAAACATGTTGGCATCTACATCAAGCATGGAGGCGGCTAACGTAAGAGGAAGATAGATGTGTAACTGGAGGGAAGTTCCTCTGGAGAGTGAACATTCACTGTATAAATAAGTCCTGTTTTTCCTTCTGCTACCAAACAAAAGTCTTTCCCTTGTCAAAATTCATACCATAAGGGTTGGAAGTATGTGCTTGCCCAGACTAAAAATCAGAATAATTATTTCCAATCAGTAACAGCAAATAGGTCTGCAGTTTCATGATGATTTTTACAACTGCAAATAAACTTTCTCATTGGTAATAAAAGACAGAAAACACTCATCACTTAGTTACCTTGGTAGACTTTTTTGTATTATTTGGGCTACAAAATTTTCACCAGCCAGAGATTTATTTTCTTCTAAGTTTGACAATGTTCAGCAAGTGAAATGCAAGAGAAAGCCCAGATTTATATACTTTCCTTAAGGAACAATTTGGTCTTTTTGATATTTTCTAAAATAAAAAATTTTTCAGTGACAGCCAATAATAAAAGGACAATGCAAAGCTTAAATCTTTTCTCTGGAGGCTGGCCATGGACCAAAGGAAATTATTTGTAGGCTGGGAACCTACAATGGTGGAAGGGCCTCATGAATATCTGAATGTCTCAGAAGGTATATGTAATTAATAACATAGGTGTAGTCCAAACTCAAAAAAAAAAAAAAAAAAAGCAGCCAAAGTTGGCCAACTTTCAAACTATTAAGAACATAATACCTTTGTCAACTGAGAATAACTTTACTTTCTTTTAATGCTTCTTAACCAATATTGGGACAAACCTTGGTAATCTTGCAGGTATGGTAAAGAAAACCCAATTTTCTGACAGAGGGCACAATACCCCTGCAAACAGTAGAGATAAGCAAAAAAGGAAGAAAGTTTATGGCTGCATGGATAGAAAATACAGGATAGCTAGGATTTGACAATTTAAGGGTGGGTTGTAACATAGAAAAACATGTCCGCTGACTGGTCTTAGTTTATGTTGACTCCTAAATGGGCTTTGAGGATAGATGGAGCTGTTAACTTTAAAAACAGAAGTATTTCCAAGTTATCTTGGGTAATAGTCATCTTGTTTCAACTAGGTTTCCGTTAGCGCCCTATTATAAAATCTTAAAACACAGATTTAAGATAATGTAACTATATTATCATTAGCAAAATGTGAGCAAATAATGAAGAGAGAGAGTTTTCTGAGGAACAAACATAAAAGTGGTACTGTGAATTCATATGGCCTATTTGCAAAAGTAGGCATATTCCAGGGGAAGTATGAAAATAAGGCAGACGATTATGAGATAAGAACCCCTAACAAAGGTCTGCATTTCTTTTGAATAACTGAAAAGTATGAAGGGGGAAGGCAAGAAATGTAGCTACTACCACATTATATGGTAGCAAAAATCTATTTTTTAATACAAAGGAGAAGAGGAGAAAAAAATCCAGTCACCAGTGATAACCACTGTTGACTCAAAGTCCTAGACATATGGACCCAAATTACACTAATGAGATTTTTGAAAAGCATTCTTGACCTGTTTGGGTAACAGTTTGGGAAAGTGTCCAAAGCTTAAGTACTAACCCACTATGAAATGGAAATATGCGAGAGAGATTGAGAAGCAGAATATTCATTATGAGGAAATTAAAAATAAAGATCACAAATAGCTACTTTCAAGCAAATGGTACTTTGGGAGTCTATGAGAAAAATGTAATTGAATATCAAGCTATTCAAAGGCAGTCTGAATAGAATCCTAAGAGCATCCCTGCCTGAGTCTTCTGCTAGGATGTAACAGTCTCCTGAAATAGGTTCCATGGGGACACAGGCTAGATTGCCAAGGTGAGTGAGAAGAGGATGTAAAAGACAGTACCCTCCCTGTTCTAACAACACACAAATTACATCCTAGTGTAGCAACTGGTTGATGAAATGGTCAACTGAAGAGTTCAGACTAAAACAAGATGCAGACTAAAGGAAATGAAGAAAGAATTCAACATTAATATTCAAAGCTATTTTTAATTAGACTTTGACCACCTGTTCAGCTCTATAAACCTAAACATTGTATCACAGAATCTATAACTTTCTCAGAATTGAACACTGGGATGATTTTATCATAACAACCCAAAGACATTCCATGATACTAACTACAGTTTTGCACCAGTGAAAGGGTCTGTAGTTAGTTTTTGACTATGGAGTTAACATTTTTATCTCTATTTTATGCTTCTGTTAATTTTCCCCAGAGGAACAAACACACATTCAACAAAACCCTTATGCCTTATTTCTTTGGGTCTTGACATTTGTTATCTGAGAATAGAAACAGAAGAAAATGTGGAAAATTAGGAGTATGTTTATCTGCATAGTTGCTATTTAAAGGCTACTAAGGCCTTATCTGAAAAAGCAACAAAAATCTAAGAAGTGATTAAAAAAACTAACACATCATCTTACCAGGGATTAACTGGGCCATAGCCAATTCTGGGAATTAACCCAGATGTTTTGTCTGCTTGGGCTTGGTACTTTCTCCTAACTCACTTGAGCTAGATGAAATTTGTTCCTCATCCCGTGTTCTCATTTTTCTGACCCCGAATATGTTCTACAATTTAAACAGTTCTACGTATACACTCCAACAAATGTTGCTCAGCATTTAGCATTCAAAAAATGCGGCATCTATTTTTTTCCTGTTGTTTCAAATGATAAAAGAAAAATTCTACATAGTAATACTTAATATGCAGGGATGGAAGGTGGGATAAAATGATCTTCTTATCCTCTTGGGAATTGGGGAAAAACATGTTTCCTTCTACCCCCACCTAGGAAGTGAATCCTGCATTCCCTCTACCATTTTCCTACAACATGAGCAGCTGATGGTTCACCTCTTTCATGGATTGAAGAAGTATGAATTACAAAGATAGACTGGCTAACCAGTATCCAGCTGGCTGTGTGCAGTGTTTGCCCCTCCAGTGCAGAGCTGGATACACCTAGTTATCGGAACAGCACAAAATCTCTGATTTACAAGAATGAAGAGACTCCCATTCATTCTTAGAAAGTGAAAAGCTTAGCTATCTGTCACCAAACAAGTAACATAAGGAAATTAGATCAAGAAGATGGAAAAGTGAGGCAGTTGAAACTTTCAGGATCATTTATCAACTCCAATAACCAAAGCACCCAAATTTTATCTAACTTTAGCTCCACAACCTTGGCAAAAAATCACACAAGTAGTAACTTAACACCATAAAAGGCTAAAAAAAATCTATTTATAATTAAGAAACTTAGCATCATTTCCCCCCTTGTTAACCTGAAACCATTTTATCCTACTGCATATATAATATGTTTAAATAACAAATATGTATCTAAATTAGAATTCCAATGATTTCTTTTTCCAGAACTTAAAAATCACAGGGTGCTTTTTATAATTACCACAAGGAAAACATTTTTTAGCCTCTGCAGGAAGATGATAATACTATTTTTACTTATATAGGACATTTTAGAAAAACACAAAATATTTTTGAAATAGTAAAGTCTCTGATATCCCTGGGAGGTAGGTGAATATTATTATACCCAATTGTCTAATGGGTAATCTGAGGCACGAAGGTTAAATGATATCCCCCCCTAGACACAGTAATTCAAGAGTAATATTTGCAGCTGAACTCTGGCCACCTGACAGTAGTTTTACTATCAGGTAACATTACCAGGAGCCTTTGCTTTCTCGTTTTTAGCCACCAGACTCTTCTTTCCAATTAGAATTTATTTAAAAGGGGGCGCTTATTAGATATATTTTTACTGGGTATGAGGGATGGTTCAACTTAATCTCCTTTAACATGTCACAGCTATTTGTTTTCAACAAGAACAGATGAATCTTAGATACTGAAGATTATGTTATTTTGCTCAAGGGAAAAATCCAAATAACCATAAAATCAGATTAAGCCAAATGTAATTATCTGGCAAATAAAAAGAAAACTGAAGATCTCTCAAGAATGCTATAGATTATGAGAGTGTTTTCCTCAGTATCTGAAGTCTACTTCTAAGTTTATGAACCTTTTAATAGATATGCAACTATATGATTTCTTCAAAAATCATTTCCCAGAAGAAAATATGATACATTTTTGATGTTGACAAAGTTGCTACCTTCCTTCAAAACTTATTCAGATACTATACCATAGTTGTGACACCAGCCCTCCCATGTGTTTAGTCTCACTTGCCATAGTGCACCTTACTAATCTGACCCACAAGATACTTGTTATTCCAATGCTTTCTCTAATATTGCTTATGCCAAGTTTGTAGGGCACAGAGCATGGGTTACATCCAGGAATAGTCAATGAGTCCATCAAATTTATTTTACTTGTAATAACCGACTTATTATGTATATATATTTTTGCTGCTGTTGTTAACATCTACAAATAGATATTCAAAAGGGGAAGATGGCATCTTGTAAAAAGATAATTTCCCAATCTGCCCATTTTAATCAACTAAAAGCAATGGAATGAACAAGGCAGAAGTTTTGCAAACACTGAAAGGGGCGTGTTCAGAAAGGCTGCAATGGTACAGCAGCTACTAGTTTTGTATGTATGGATCTTACATATATATCCATATAAAGAAAAGGAAGAGGGTGGTGACAGCACGATATGGTGTTGGCAAGTTTGAGATTCTTCCTCTTGAATCCCCTGCCTTAGCCTGTACTTTAAGATATCTGAGAAGTTTCAAAAGAGGGGAAAAAAGAAAGAAAAAAGGCACTTAACAAAGACAAAGGCCTGAATTGAGCATGTTTTAGGGGAGTAATATAAGCATTTTACCAGAGCTAAGAAATGATTTACAAAGAGTTAAACTTTTCCCCTTAAAACTTTATAAAATAAAATTCCATAATATGTTTGTGATCAGTCATTCATCTACTACTGCACTTTTCTTCTGCTTCATTATTACAAAAACAAAACCCCCCAAAGCAAAAAACAAAACAAAAAACAATCATACATGCACAATAGAGAGTAAAAGTGCCTCTTTTGAGAACATTAGGTCAGCAGAAATTATAGTGCTGAAGCACAGGGAAAGTTCTCAAGTTTGGCCTGATTATAGAGTTTTCTCATTCTATTTCCAACTTCAAAAACAAAACAACAAAAAACCAACAAACAAAAATGCAAACAAATTCAAAACCTAAATGATAAAAACAATATAGGGACCAGTGTGCTTTTATGGTACACTCCTAAAATAAAGTTTCCTAATTCTATACATGGGTCAAATTATAGGACAAAATCTCCCAGAAATAAAGAACTGTAAATTAGATTAAAGTCAACCAATACAGGCAAAGTTCATCTTACAAACGTAGCAGCAAATATGACAGATAACTGGAGTTCTAAGAGATGATCCCAAAGGACACAGAGCTCTCATAATCAATGGCAGTTTGAATAACAGTAGAATTTTCATTTCAGAAAATGTCTTTAACCAAGAGGAGGTGGAAAGGTGTGGGAGAGGGCCACCAGAGGAGAAAGAATAGAGGTGCCTGCCCTTTCCAACCCTGGGTAGTAAACAATTTAGATCTGCTTTGGGAAAAAAATATCCTGGGTTATAAATCATTTCCAATGAGTTGTTTTCAAACAGGTGTCAAACCCACAGTATCCAAACATGTATGTGCCCGGTTCTTCCCCTTACCTTGGTGATCCAATAAACCTTGCTCAATATGTATAATATAAAAAAATGCAATTTGGGCTAACAACATCCATCAAAGGGGTGGCGGGCATGAAATAATGTACTAATACAAAACTCTGATCACCTCAAAAAATCAGGACTTTGTGACTACAGATTAACTTCACTTGCTTTCCCAAAACCTTTTTCTTCAGGCTGTTTTAAAAATCATGATTTTGTTTACCGTCTGATCTCAGAAGCATATGAGAAAGAATTACAATTGACTTATAATGGAAATTATTGCTTGCAATTATTCTGGAGGCTCTGAATGAGCTTGACACTTTGCTCCCAGTCTCCAACTGAGGCTCAGCACTGCTGTCCCTGAGGACAACTTTGCTGACCACCATTATTGCTTGTGAATACTGAGGATTAACTTGTATGTACAGTAACAGCTTATATATCAGTGAAGGCCATTTAAAATATAAGACAGTTAAAAATAAACAGCTTAATCTTCCTGAATCAAGAATCCCACTGAGTGGGACATAATTATGTGTGCTGATTATTTTTGCATCTGGATGTTGCTAATGCTCTTTAGAAATACAGATTGTTCTATAGATATCCTTTCCAGTTACTCACCATTTTAAAAAATAACATAATTTGATCTTTAAGTGCAAAAATACAGTATGAGTCACAAGTCTCTGTGTTAAAAAATAACCAATTTATGTTTGTTTTTTTAGTAATAAAAACTGTAAAGATACGTGACCATAAAGTATGGACACCATTTTCAATGTTATGATCTAGAAAAGAAATGTAGATATTTACATGTAGAAACTCTCTGATCTTACTCTGTCTATGAAGGAATACAAGTATGTTTGACTCATTTGTACAACATAAAAGGAAGGGGAGGTTCTTGACTGAAATGGATGGGAGTGGACAGTGAAAATGGGGGTGGAGGGTTAAGGTGGGAACCTAACAGGAGTCCTCAAGGACTCAAGACTGAAGAGAATAGAATATAATTGCAATATTATATTCTTAGAGCCAAGGGCATTCATATATTTTTACTGGTTAGTATAAAATGACACAGAAGGAAATAACTGATTATTCTGTTCTTTTCTAATGATGACAAAGACTCATCAGGGATTTTCATATGACATGATTCAGAATTGATGGATTTAAGAAATTAAAATTATTTTTTGACTCAAATTAGTAATTGAGAGGAATGTGTGTGTGTGTGTTAAACACACACATACACACACACACACACACACACACAAATACACATATAATTATCAGCAGGAAGAGAGATTAATATGCACTTTGACTTCTCTCCTGGTATAAGAAATAAAACAAAGGCTACCTTCCCCAAAGGAAAACTCCCATCACTTACCCAGAGAGTTATTGGTAAAGACTTTTTTTTTTCAAATTTGATAAACAAGAGGTCTACTACATTGGAATAAATCAAGAATTGGGTAAGTCTCCCTAATTAAAACCAAGCAAACTTTTAACCAAACATACTGAATTCAAGTCAAACCCCTCTGCAACATCCCAGCATCCTTCCAAAGTATCTACAGGGCTTCATACAACATCCATACTTGTTTTGTTGTTAAATAAATTCTTAGAGTCAAGAAATTAAATCAATGATTCCTTTGAAATAATTCTTTCCCCTTAGTGTAACAAGTTCTTGGAACTAAAGTTTTCAGTTATTCATTAACTTTTTTGCTATGAAGCAAGCCAATGTGACTTTGAAGTCAAAATATAGGCATACAGATCTGAACAGATCTGTGGTTATTTATTCACAGTTCTGTAGGCTATTGGGGACTTTTGTTTATAAAAGGAAAAAAGGGCCTGGTTAATACTCTTATTTGAATAAATTTAACAGTATAATGTGTAATAAAAACATATGCAAGAAATCTTGCTACTATCAGTCTAATGTTTTTAAGTTAGTTTGCCATTATAAATGGACCAAGCTTACACCATTCTTGGATTTAGTTAGAAAACATTCAGAAGCTAAAAAAAAAAAAAAAAAAAGCCACTAGAATGATCATGAGGCAAAAAAAAAAAAAAAAATCCAATAAAATGTATACAGAGAACCATAAATTTTCCCTTAACATCCTTCGTTGAATATGCTATCTGCATAAGGAAGCTGTACTAACTAAGGAGCCTTATAATCTGTAGGCTTGCTCACATATCAATACTCCGAGTAAATATACTACCAGTAAAGCTTTAGTATCCCAAATGCTCCAAACAATTCCACTACACTGGATATAGGGAGTAGAAATACACTGTGATTGTTACCCTAATGTAATTCGTCTCTTTAAAATATCATCTTAAAAATTCAAAAGCCATATTCATGCCATTCGAATGTCCAATGAAGAAACAAAGCATACACTTCTATCTGTTTATATTGATAGTTCATAATCACTTGGAGTACCACTAGTTAAATGAACAGAAGAAACTGTGAAGTGAAGTGCATTTGGGGGGAAACTTACAGCTCATGTTGCTGTAAATGCTAACAGCAACAACGCAGCAGCCCTGTATCAAAGATCCCCATTTCTTAAGAAAAAAATGTGAACACCATCATATTTTAACATCAAGAATGGAAATAAGAACAACCAGTCAATACCAGATGCACAAATCACCTGAAGAAAAGAGTTAAGTACCTGCTTCTGAATGGAAAATGAAATTGACCCTTTTACAAAAAAGGTGACATCTAGGTTTTGTTTGTTAAGAGCAACAGGCTCAACTTCCTGACTTTGAAAAATCTAGATGATTTAATACTATATATCATTATGCTAAAATAACTTTCCTGACGCATCTTTAGTCCACCGATTTACATGGGGAGTTGCTACACACTGGAGAAGATTCAAGTTTGCTCAGGATTTTTGAGGGTACAGTATTTCTCCAGCTACTGTCTGTATCAGACAGAGCCATTAAATTTTTTTGTGGCAAATTTGCTACACAGTCCACTCACAGAGACATGATCATTACTCCTGACAAACTGGCCTAATTCCAGATATAGTGCCTTTTATTATGTACTTATGTCTACAAGTGTTCAGATCCAACCCCCAGGATGGATGGAGTTTACCCAAATCCTCTGGACTTCCTTCTCCCCCGGGAAAAATCAAATTTGTACATCTGTGGGTTTGACAACTGAGTCTCTCTCAAGTCAGTTAATATGGTAACTTTGTCTTTCTTTAGAAGAGACCAAAGGTCTCTAACTTTGCACAAAAGCATTTTTTCCTCCTGCACCTGGCTTTGCTCAAGTAACGTTTGTTTTCTTTTCTTTTTCCTCCTCACCACAGTGCTTGGGACGAGAGAATGTAAACATCGACAGAAACAGCAGCCCTATGACCACATAAGTACTTTCCCATCAGGTAGATTCCATCAGCCAACCAAATGTTTCATCTCCTTTGCTTGCTGGGAAGTCACTGAGATTTCCGTGGTAATTTAGTGTCCCCTTTACTTTGGCCTCCATCTGAGAAAAAGAGATGTTAAATGGGCATGAGTCTGAATGTTATAAAAAGTAGATAAGAAAAACAAAGCAAAAAGAACCAATGGTCCTCTTATTTCAAATGACTGTGGTTCACAGTTTGTTCTCAGTGTCCTAAATAGTATTTCAACAAGTAATTTATCATTTACCCTCTATGGATGATTACCAATATGTTAACATATTACCAGTGGTTACCTCTGGGATTGTTGTTGCTAATCTTTACTTTATACTTTTCTGTACTGTCTGAATATTTTTACAATAAAGTTGTATAATTTTTATAATCTAAAAACAAATTGTCATTTACCTCCTAGACAATTATGTCAAATGCTGAGAGAGGATCATAAAAGCAGCAGAGGACATAGTTCCCACCTTTTCAAGGGCCCCCCCCACATCTTTCAATTTCTTTAGAAGACAAAGTCAATTTCATTTTCTTGTAACTGAAATTAAATTTCTTGCCAGAATATAGCATTTGATAATTCATTCCTAATTATTTATGTAAATGAATTTGGCACATTGGTAGTGGAAAAAATCCAGCTGAGTCTTTGTTTGGGTCCTTACCTAGCATCAAGTGACAGTAAAGTATGCTACTGGGACCAATGGTTTCTTTTTTTTTTAGAGACAGGGTCTTGCTACATTGTCTAGGATGGAGTGTAGTGGCCAATACCAGACATGATCATAGCATACAATAGCCTGGAACCCCTGGCCTCAAGCGATCCTCTTGTCTCAGCCTCCCTAGTAGCTGGGACTATAGGCACATGCCATTGTACCAGGCTCACAATGGTTTCTATTTTTACATACTGCTGTTTAAACATTTATGAGGAAAAATGTTGATTACTCCATTTAAATCTCAGCTAAATTACCTACAAAAACTGGAAAGACTCTCGAGAAAAAGAGGGTGTCTGGGCAAGAGTAGGGCCCAGTGACCTGGAAAGCCAACATAATATAGAGAAAGTCTCTGTAATAGGTCATTGCCTTAGCAAGAAAAATGAAATCCCAAAGATAACCCATGCATAAAAGAAAAAGATAGGGAAGGAAACCTTTACTTTGAGAGGAAAGGCATGCATGGTAGAGATATACAGGTGAAAAGGAACAAACTGTTGAATCGCAGTAACAGAATCTTAAGGCTGGAAGAGACCACAAATCACATTGCCAGGTCCACTCATGGGGTATCTAAATCAGTCTGGTAAAATATAAAACAAAAAAACTACCTCTAATGAAGAAAAGATGTATCAATGAAACAAGATGATTATTTCAAAAGCTGCACAAACAGAATTCTACTAAAATAACTTCAGTGACAACATCTAAGGCTTTTCCATTTATAATAAGATATTACATATCTATATTTCTAGAGAGAAATGATTTGGTCTGAGGTATAAATTCATAAGATGGCAATGCATTTTTTGAATGGGATTTTGCTCAAGGAAGCTTTAATTAGCAAACTGAAATACTCATATTAACTGGACGGTAAGATTCTTTAGACCACAATTTGGCAAATTATAGCCCAAGGGCAAAATATGGCCTACCATCTGTTTTTGTAAATAAAGTTTTATTGGAACTCAGCCATACTCATTATTTATATATTGTCTAGGGCTATTTTTGTGCTACATGGCAGGGGTGAGTAGTGGTGACACAGACGATATGGCCTGCAAAGTCTAAAATATTTACTATTTGGCCCTTTATAGAAAAATTTTGCTGACCCTTGTTTTAGACTAAATAAAATTAAGAGAATTAACATTAATTGAGCTTTCACTTGACTTCTAAGAAGTGTCTAAAAAAAAAAAAAAGCTTTCACTATGTATCTGGTACCATGTTAGAAGCTTTAAATCAATTATTTTTTATTAAATTCAAGTATTTTTATTAAATTCTCCTAAGAAGCTATCAAAAACATTGTCTCCAATTTGCAAGCTAGAAAAATGATAGTCAGAAAAAGTTAAGGAGCTTGCTCAAATTGGCTATTCTGGAATTAAAAATTCCAAGCCTGATTCTCAAGTTAACTGACTTATACTTTAACATGTTTTTAAAATAAAAAATCTTCAACTTTTAAGCTTCAATTATTTGGAAAATATTGACAGTTGTATTTCTTTTTTTCATCTGGAACAGTGGTGCTACCCAGACAGTGAGATACTTCATATAAGAACCAACTACTGGGGTCTTTTTTTTCCTTGCATTCATGTCACTTTGCCCCATGAGCACACGTTCCTCAGCTGGATTCATTATACCATGCAGCTGACCACTCCCGTGGAAGAACTGCTTTAGTCACAGGGCAATTCTCCTTTAGCATTTAAACCTACTCAAGGAGTTGAAGATCAGGATTGCTAACCTTTGTGTCTACTTTGTATTACCTATTTTACACAAATATGGTTCACTTAGGTCTTTTAGAGGATTAATAACCATCTGTTGCCTAAATATTGCTATACAGCTCCCATCTCTGCATTGTGGTCAATGGTAAACTGGTTCAAAGATCATTTTTAATGCAGTGGCATAAAAGAGCAGTGAGACCCTAGTCAACTTTCAAAGTCAAGAGGGCAGCTAATCAGTTATTTCTGCTCAATAGATCCTAAAAATGGGCTTCAGGATGGTCTCAGCAGTCTATGGAGGTCACCTGCTGGTGAGAGCAAGAAGTAGATGCCAATATATTATACACAGTGCCCATTGTCTAATGTCAGATTTCATTTCTTTTTTTTTTTTTTTGAGACAAGAGTCTCGCTTTGTTGCCCCAGGCTAGAGTGCCATGGCATCAGCCTAGCTCACAGCAACCTCCAACTCCTGGGTTCAAGCAATCCTCCTGCCTCAGCCTCCTAAGTAGCTGGGACTATAGGTATGCGTCACCATGCCCGCCTAATTTTTTTTCTATTTTTAGTAGAGACAGGGTCTCACTCTTGCTCAGGCTGGTCTCTAACTCCTGACCTCAAGCAATTCTGCCTCAGCTTCCCAGAGTGCTAGGATTACAGGCATAAGTTACCACGCCCAGCCCTAATGTCAGATTTCAGAGTGATCTGGATGGGCTGCAAATATATAAGGCATACATTTTGGGTCATATCTAATCACTGCTAAGATGCAGAAGTTTAATGGTTAATAATACAGTCCTTAAGTCAGAATTCCTGGGTTTGTATCTCAGATCAAACACTTACTTGTATATTATCTTGGGGGAGTTGCTTACCTCTCTGATTCAGTTTTCTGTCTGTAAAATGGGAATCATTATCCACCATTCAGGGGCTTGTTGCAAGGATTAAGTTAGCTAATCCATACAAGCAGTCACAGGACTATCTGGCATTTAGTAAGCTTTCAATAAATATAAATTATTATCACTACTATATGTGACTTTTGTTAACTACCTTATGAATCCTCATCTTATTCACCATTTTCATATAATAAACACCTTCAAAAAGGCTCTTTTCATATGTAACAAAAGATCTCATTTACCTATTTCCTTTCTCTTAAAAGGAATTTATTGCCAATGAGGATTCAGTCATATGATAATTTGCTTTTTCCAACCTTTGTCATTCTAATCACACTGATTTCAGGAAACTAAAATCCATATCTATAAACCTACACTAATGATAAAGAGATGAAGAAATGGGTGGTTTTCTTACCATTAAATGTTTGTTGTAAGTGTGTAGGCAGAGGTGAGTGGGAAAGTGTTGCTGCGTGCTGAGCTCCTGGCTGTAAACCCTTTAATAAATCTGAGAAGAAAACAGATTTGTTAGTTATCTTATTTAAACTAAGATTCAAGCTCTCTTAGATCAAAATTGAAAATAATTTGATTTATCTAATGCAGGCACAGCCCCTGACTTCAAAGGCTTTCTAAAACTAGAGCCATGTATTTTTTAAAATTTACATATTTAACTTATACGTGTATACAAAAAACAAATTTGACTTCCTCTTATAAATTTCATTAAGATAGAAATGTGGCATAGATGGTTCATTTCAAAACTGCAAATAAAACCCCAGAGTCCAATAATTTGACTTACCCGATACAGATGAAATAAAATGCATTTCTTTAAAAAAAAAAAAAAACTTATAATAATTTTCAGTAACTCCAACTGACTACTTTCAATTAGAATATATTCGAGACATTTCCTGTTCTGTCAAACTAGATGGCCAACTAAATAAAGAGCCCCACTTACTCTGAGTTAGGCTATGGTGGAAAGCAGGTGAGGTAGATCCCGAGGTGGTTGTCACTCCAGCGGTGTCCGTTCCAAAGCCAAGTAGCTCCAAGGGAAACTGGAAGGGCATGGTCACTGGAACAAGGCCACCCAGCATCCCAAAAGGAGTCACATTTTGATTTGTTACAGACAAAGGTGATGTCATGAGAGTCAGAGGTGAGGCATTAGCCAATAATGATGCTCCTGCTGTGGACTGTGCAGAAACCAGGGGTCAAAATATATAAGAAATAAAGTATTTAACCTAAATTGATTTATTTTATATAATATCTTCATGGACACAAGACTGTGTCTTACATCTGGTCTAATAGAAACTTTGTGAGACAGGTTTTTCATTACTACTGTAGACTCTCCTGTCATTTTAATGGTGCCTGTTTTAACAAGCATTCACTCTCTTAATCTACTAATTCCTAATCTTAAATTCCCACATCTCCAATTTTGCTCCTAGCCCACAGACCTGAACCAGGAGTAAATAATTACATGCAATTCCAACTGGGTCTCTGAAAATGCTCACTTTACTATTTGTCTTATAATCTTTTCCTGGCACAGTCCCGGCAGCTGCTATTTTAGACTACTGCTCTTTTAGCGCCTCCTGTCTCTGTATCTTTTACTTTCATCACATCACTCTACAGAGGTGAGGCTATGCTGGATGTTCTTTCTCATTAGCCTTACCTGCCCTTCTCCAGAGCTCACCACCTGACCTACATACATTCATGAATCCTACCTTGTAGAACTTTCCTGTACAAACATCTATTAATAGTAATGCATCTTCTCCATGTTTCCTCTACCTTCTCAGATACAGAGTCCTCATTTCTTTTCACAACCTCTCTGCTATTCCAGTTCTTCCCCAACTTCTAGCAACAAACTAATTTATTTGTCTTTCTTTTATTATCAAATATACTGAATGACGGCTTCCATTTTCCACATTTCTAGTCTCTCCTAACTCCTGAAAGCTGGTTTCCACTTACTACTTTTCTAAACTTAGTCTCCCTAAGGTAAAAGGTAAATTAGAGAGTATTTTCACATTCCCCCACATGGGCTTTGATGCCATGTTTAGGAATAAAAACACTTAAATCAGAAATATGCTAACACTGGTCAGTTTTCATTGGGAAATTACTTAAATACACTCCTTAAACCACTTTCATTCTTTGAACATATTTTCTGTATAGTAATTAAATTTTTCCCATTTTGACTTTTTTCTTTTCTATGTGCACTTATCAATAAAGATTTGATACAATAAAATTTTCTCAGTATCAGATATTATCTATTATAGTTTCTGCCACTTTAAGTTTTCTTTTGTAGCCTTACTTTACCAAATCCAAATTTCCTTGGTCAAAAATTTTACAGTTCTAAATTTGATCAGGAAAACTGAATTCTCTAAATATTTTTAAAGTTAATAATAAATGTTGGCTATTGTCAATTTTGTGTGTTACTTCTACCAATAAACATTATTAATAAAGAGCTGATTATTTCTTAATGTATGAGAAAAATGTAAGCAATTTTCCCATACATATATGCCACATTACATATATTTGTACATGTGACTACTGCATAAAAATGAAGAACACCCTCCAGAAGCCTTCTATTCTGGTTCTTTCACAAGAATAAGAGGAAGGTTGCCTCCCCTTATCTCCTTTATTTGCTGTCACTGAAGTTTACATACATAGTTCTGGCCTCTCATCTCAATTTCCACTCTATCTATCCAAGAGTTCAGTGAATAATTCCACTTGGATATCTAACACTCACCAACTTGATATTTCCAAAATTGAAATCATCTTCTCAAATCCCTTCCTCCACTTTCTGTTAACTGCTATCATCAACAGTATCAGTCTTTCCAGCCACTTAGGCTTAAAACCTTAGTTTTCAGACATCATAAAATTAAGGCCAAGAAGAGCTCATAGTCAACAAACCCATTCTTTTTTATCAAAATTTCCTCTTACACTTAAGTACAAATCTTCACCAATTCATGCTTGAACTTGACAGCTTTTCTTACTTGCCAGTTTTCTTCTTCTACTGTGCCAACCATGATATACAAAAGTGGATGCATTTAGGAAAATATTACCAAATTAGAAATAACATCTTAAAGCAACTAGGATAGAAAGGATCCTGTATCAATTTAAAAATTAACAAGAGTTGTTTCTCCTTTTTAATTATAATTCTATTGTAGCCTTAGGATGATAAGGAGTCTCCAAGGCTGTGTGCCCCAACTGGAGTCCTCTAGTGAGGAAATACTGCTAATAAGGAGACCCTTTTAAAGCTTTTCTGGAGGAATCTAATTGAAGCATTAAAATATATGGAAAATATAAATTAGAGCAACTTACACAATTAAATAACTTGAGTATTAGCAATAAAAAAAAATACCATCACATAACTGTGTAGTATTTTATATTATTTCAAAGAACGTCCATGTCCACTTTGTTTATAAATCTAAATTGAAACATCAGATAATCTAAATGTGACATGGGTATTATAAATTTCTCTGTCCTAAAAGATGGAGACCTTTCAGAAATAGGGTATTCCATGGTTGGTATCACTTGGGAGCATATAGGAGAAGCTGTCAGCATGAAGTAGGTAAACAGTTCAAGATAATATCTCATTATCAAAAATACTTTCCATGATCTCTACATTTCATTCTCAGGGGAAAATATGAAGAAAAACTTTGCTCGTCCCATAGTGGGCATTAAATCTTTTTTAAAAACACATGTTTTATTTTGGTGTCTGCATTTGCCCCCATTCTCCAGAGTAATCTTCTGAAATGTAAATCAGACCCATACCACTCCCCTGTTTAAGAATCTCCAACAGCTTCCCACTGTGCACAGAGTAAAATCCAAAGTCCTCATTGTGGCCCACAAGGTCCTCCATGGCATGGTTCTGGTCTCTCTCCACAGTCCAGCCATGTGGGCTTTCACTTCATGCTCTTTTCCAATCTCAGAGTTGTCATACTACCGTTCTCTGGGGCCTGGACTGTTTTTCCCCCCTCTTCTTTCCACATGGCTGACTTCTGCTCATTCAATTCTCAACTCAAATGTTACCACCTCAAACAAGGCCTTCCCCAAACTCCTTTATCTACATCAGCAGCAATCACTCTTTATTATATCATCCTGTTTTATTTTTTTCATGGCACTTTCCTACATGTGTTTTGCTTATCTTCCTACCTAGAATATGCTCCAGGAGAGCAGGGATATTGAGTATGCTGTTCACCTGTTTCCCCAGCACCTAGAAGAGTGCCTGGCACATAGTAAACACTCAAAAAACATTTGCTTAATGAACAGTTGATTTTTTGAATTATAAAGTGGAAAAGACAAGATTCATAGAAAATCAGTAAGATGAAGAGTAAGAAAGACGAGGTAACCCCTGGGTGGAAAGTTATTAAATAGAAAGCAGGTAGAGCTAATAACTTAAACCCAGAAAGATTTTACCTTTTGTCATTTGTTAAAGAACCTGTCATTTTTACTCTGCAAATGAGTAGACAGCTGCAGATGCCTTTCAGACAGGAGGTGAATGCTTTGCAAGCATAGATAGGAAATCTGTTTTCACCATTGGAGAGCTAAAGACAGGATCTAGAAGCCAGAAGGTAGCTGATAAGACTTGAATGAGATGCTATATTAAAAATATAAAGAACCTTTAGAGTTCACCAAAAGGTAGAAACCAGCTTATTTAATTACTGACCTTTTCTTCTGTCAAACCAATAAGACAGGAAAAAGAAAAAAAAAAACCAACAAAACAGATCAGATATGAAGGAAGGAATACTCAAGTCTCCAAATCATAAAGCCATTTAGGAGAAGAAGAAAACCAGCAGGGAGTAGTTACTTTTCAGAAATACAGATTTTTGCGATGTAGCTTCCATGCTGACAAAGCAATTATTTGTTAGCCAGTATATGGGTTCTCTTGGGATAGATGATCAAATATAGGAAGGTCTTTGGGAATAAAACAGAACTGACAGATTCTGGAGATAACAAAGGATGAAGAAAGATTTAACCTTAAGTTTAAAGAAAACAAGTCAAAATAAAAAGCAATTTTTAACTCTAAGGAAAAAAAAACCCAAATTTATAATAAAATTGATAAAATTAAGAGTTTTGCATGTATTATTCTTATTTAAAAATACTGAGAAGAAAAAACTAAGAGAGTTAAAAGTAGTTAACACTAGGAAGGAGGATATGAGGTAGGGAACTGCCATTTCTGTTATAATCCTTTTACTTATTTATCAAATTAAAGATTAATTTTAAAAAGAATCAACTTTTCAATAAAGATAATATAATGTGGATATATTCTCAGACCTTACATGTAATTTAAATTTTAACATATCATTCCTAAAGTCAATTTGTTTGTTTATTATTTTCTTATTTCTGATGAAAGTAAAATTATATAGAGAAAACATCAGTTAATCCTAGATTTCAATTAATGAATTACCAGTTAATTGAATTTGTTCTACATTAGAATTCTGGAATCAAGTCATTCCTAAGCCTACATTAGTGGCAGAATGGAAGCTGTTTTTTGGTTTTTTTTTTTGAGACAGTGTCTCGCTCTTTTGCCCTGGGTAGAGTGCAGTGGCATCATCATAACTCACTGCAACCTCAAACTCCTGGGTTCAAACGATCCTCCTGCCTCAGCCTCCCAGAATGCTAGAATTACAGGCATACACCACCTTGCCTGGCCAATTTGGGTGTTAAAGGTATAATCACTATCAACCTTTACTTAGACTGTTCTGAACACCAGGAAAGCTCTACAAATAGCAAGTGGAAAATTCTTTCATTAGATGTTCCTGTTCCACATAAACAGGAGGCAGTACAAAGAACACTTCCTTAGACAACAGAATTCCATAAATCAGTAACAGTCATGTCTTTCAAAGTAAGAACCCAAAAATTTGCGCATCATAAAATGGTAATTTTTTAAAAAGCTGGTTATGAAACGGAATATTATATAAAACATACTTTCTTGAAGAGTCTAAGACAGTACCTACAAAGTACAAATAGTGTTGGGATGATAGGTGACTTTTTTCTTTGCTTTTCTAAATTTGCCTACAGTTTCATTGGAGGAGGAAAAAGAAAAAAGTAAAAAAAAAATAATAATAATAAACAAATAAATAAATAAATTTGCCTTCAGTGAACATGTAATACTTTCAGGAAAGAAAAAAAGTTAAAGAAGCCAAATCATTAATATGAAAGACAAATCTGAGAATGTGTCAGAATACAAAGAAGTAGCAGAGAGATGAAAACAGAAGATGACATGGAAGACACAGAGATGAAATATATGAATAATAAAGAGTTCTCAAAAAACCTACGACAAATGGATAAGAAACAATAATCAGATATATAACAGAATAAAATATTCTTGAGCTTAAAAAACCCAGGTCTGAAGATTGAGAGGTGTTACTATGTTCTAGGCACACAATTAATGAAACCTAGAAAAACCTAGCCATAGTCTGGGGACACTTGAATTTCAAGGAAAAAAGAAAATCCTACTAGCATTTAGGCAAAGGAAATGTATTACTTATAAAGGAATAAAAACCAGAATGGCCTCACACTTCTCTATAATCCTAAATACTAAGCAAGGATCAGTGGAGCAGTATTTACAAAATTTCGAGTAGAAAAGTTAGTGACCCAAGAAGACTCTACCTACTCAAGCGTGACAATACTGAAAGAAATGATCAGGTACGTATGAGCTAAGGTAAAATAACATTTGTGTTATGCTTCTTGAAAAGATTCCTTAAGCAAGGCACTTGACTAATTGAGAGATAAATTTAAATAAAAAACTCATGAATGGGGAAACTGTGGTATAAAAGGACTACTAACACTAACTTGACACAGAATTATACATAACTATAAAATTAATGCAAAACAAAAATTCTATTTGAGAAAATAAATGGTTTAGGAAAAAACATGAATGTATAAATTTGGTTAAATAAAAAAATAAAGTTGGCAGCAGAAAAAGCGAAGAGACAAGTGAATGTATGTTAAATTCATAAATTACTACTTTGTTCTAGACTTTCATAAGAGATACAGTTTTCAATATGTATTTTAAAAAAAATTTTAAGTAAGCATGTGATACTTTGCTGGGGAAAAGAAATTCATATCTCCAGAAAAACCTCATCCACAGTGTGCTCAACTGCCAATGTGATATCATCACAAACATTTCATGGCCATAGGCTGTAATAAGCCTACTGATAAAAAATCTACATATTATAATAAGCTTATTAAAAGTAACTCACCAGAAAGATTATAAAATCTTACATTTTATCACATGAATGCATAGAACATACATACCTGCACACTGGCTGTTACCGCTGAAGACCCTGAGGCAGAGGATGGTCTATGTGGAGTAGACAACGGTTTAGTAGCACCCTGTGTTCCACTTCCTGTTCCCCCAGATAGACTAGTCCTTTTAGTTCCGCTTGAGTTAAGGTTGCTACCTCTGCTGGCAGGTACATTCATTGCAATTCCACTCAAGCTGTTCTTCCCAACAGTTCCAGTGGATGAAGAGTTTGTTAGCTTTGAAGGGGCCTGAAGATTTTTTGTAGATGGAAGGCCTGATGTGCGATTAGCGGGCAATAAATTCAAGGTGGGAGACTGTCTGCTGATGTTTATTCCACTGGGCTGTTTATGGACTAGGTTGTTACTACTGGGGTGGCTACTCTGGGCTACTAGCGCATTTGGACTGGAAGAACTTGGGGCTACAGTAGGCTTGGGAGTTGGGTTGGATTTAGAAGTAAGTTTAGATGATACTGAAGGCTTTGCTGATAGAGAGGGCTTAGGTGAGGCAGAAGGCTTAGGTGAGGGCAAGGGTTTAGGGGATGTTGCAGGCTTGGGAGATGCGGCAAGTTTGGGGGATGCAGCCATCGAGAAGGGAGATTTGAAACCCTGCGTGGAGATTTGTGACACCATAGCCTTGGCTAAATAGTTACTGGAGGTAGTGGTGCTAGGTGCTGTCCTAGAAACCAGGGGGTGGGACCCTTGAGAACCATTTCCAGATGAGGGAGTAGATAAGGGAAGGCGGTACATAAGTGGCTTATCTGAAGTCTTAATAAGTGGGGATGAGCAGGAAAGTTGGGGATTATTACTTAATTTCACCACTGGGTTGGTCTGTGATTTACTAATGGTTGCTTGTAATGGAGACACATAGTTCTGTTGGACAGCCGAATGCTGGTGCACCTTTGTTACTTGTGTTAACGAAGAAGCATCTTGGGCCTCTGATGTTCCCAGAGTATGAGAGGAGGCAGCAATTTGGGCTTGGGATGAGGAGGAGACGTGAGTCTGTGAAGAGGAAGAAGCATGAATCTGGCTTGACCTCTGTAGTCCTTGCTGTAGTAGCCTGGCTGGCAATGGTTCTAAAGAAACTTTAGGGTTCTGAATTGAAGAACCAGCAATAAGGCCTGAAGAGATGCCAGTATGAGCTAAATCCTGGGGTTTCTTTGGTACTGGCCCTGTGTGACCAGCAATAAGACTTGAAGAATGTGCAGTCTGAGTAGAATCTAGTTTTTTAGGAGTAGCCAGGGGCAGCTTACTCATGATACTTGCTAATTTTTCTTCTCTCAGTCCTGGACGAGGTTTTGTAGTTGGCATGCTTATCCTTGAGCCAATCGGAGGGCCCTTGTTCCCATTGTTGATAACGGCTAAAGCTTCAGAAACAAGATCCAGCGAAGGAGAATGGAAAGAAAGTTCTTCATCCAGCGAGTCGTCAAGGCAGATGGTTTCTTGGGCTGGTGTGGAGCTAGAGCTGGCTGCAGCAACAGCAGATGTGCTAGAGCTCGTTGGAGGACCACCAACTGAAGCCACCAAGGACGCAGGAGTTTTCTGGTCCTTTTTTGGACTACATTCCTAGCACAAGCAACATGATATTAGAAGAGATAGAAATGGTTAATCAAAAACTACAAAGTTAATTTTAAATAACTAAGAAATTCTCATGATAATTAAAATTGTTTGTCTAATAGAAATATTTAGAGACTATCAAAACCAAAATAATTTTTGATGGGACAGAGGTCCTGACTGATACTGCACACAGCTGCCATACTGTGGTGAGCCATTCTAAGAAGAAGGCTTTTTTCTTTTTTTTAACATTTTCTCTCCAATGAACAAATGAGTTGTATGAGAAAAGGACTTAAAACCAAGTGAAGGAACATTAACACTAGTTACATTACTGATGAGATCCTCTACCACTTGTATCACATCTTCAGATCCCACTCCAAATCCATCTATGCAAACACTATGCTCTTTTTATTCTCCTTAAACTCAGGAGAAATTCTGCCTTTATATTAAGACTCCTCCCTCTCGTCTAGCGTGGTATGCTAGGATGCTGACCCTCACTTTCTACTTCCTTGCATTCTCTGTCCTGCAGCTACCCATACCTAGTACACAGAGAAAGTGGCACACCAAACTGCCAAATGATTCAATCCAAGTATACTTAAATTATGTTTTTTATTCATTAGATGAATTTGTAATTTATTTGTAAATTACTCATTTGTAATTTATTCAACATATATTTACTAAGTGTCCACTATAAGCAAGGCTCTATGCTAAGAAAACAAGGTATTAAGAATTAAAACTCTCAATACCTAAGAGTTTTCTCAAAAAACCTTAAAATTCAAGGAAGAGATGAGAATTAGCGAATAGTTTATAATATGTAAAGAGCAAGAGAATTAAAAAGCAACTGTTTCCCTAGCTCTTGGGAGGCCGAGGCGGGCGGATTGCTCAAGGTCAGGAGTTCAAAACCAGCCTGAGCAAGAGCGAGACCCCGTCTCTACTATAAATAGAAAGAAATTAATTGGCCAACTGATATATATATAAAAAATTAGCCGGGCATGGTGGCGCATGCCTGTAGTCCCAGCTACCCGGGAGGCTGAGGCAGAAGGATCACTCGAGCCCAGGAGTTTGAGGTTGCTGTGAGCTAGGCTGACGCCACGGCACTCACTCTAGCCTGGGCAAAAAAGTGAGACTCTGTCTCAAAAAAAAAAAAAAAAAAAAAAAAAAAAAAGCAACTGTTTCTTTTTAAAGAGAAATATAAAGTATTTGATTCATTTCATTTTTAAGATTAAGAAAACAAACTATTACACAAAAGTCATTTCAAAATATCTTCAGTTGGTTTCTTAAAAACAAAGAAACCAAATAAACCCAAACCCAGAATGCTTTATTGTATACAGATTTATACAACCATAGCACTTACCTTAAGCATAGTGGGGAAAGAATGGAAAGGAAGGGTCTTTACCATCACCTCCTAAGGTATTACAGTAAGTAAGGTGTTAAGAATGTTGTTACACTCTAACTTCCTTAGCAGTTTCTCTAAGCTTTTATTCTAAAACCCCTGATTAAAAACCCCAGTGCTTATTGGAAGTGTGTGGTTTAATTATGTTAAAGTCACAACTGTCTACAAGATGAATGGATAGCACAGATGAGACACACATGTTTGCTTTAACACACCATACAATTACATGATCAGTGAAAATTCCATCATTGTAAAAAGTACAGAACTGAGGGTGAGTAAATGTATCAGAACAATACTGGAAATATTAGTATAAAATTGCTGTTTTAAATAACTTTTTATTATTAATTTTTTCTTGTAAAAATAACATTAAATCTACCCAATAGAATACTGTATAGATTTACATTGGCAGAGAAAATTGTTCATGATATATAGTGAGTCAAAAAAGCAGGTTATCTCATTTATATGGAATGTTAATTCAGTAAATGAATGGATGGTTGGATGGATGGATGGAAAGGAGGGAGGAACAGAGATCCAGAGAAGAGAAGGCAGCTGTGCACCGGAAAATCAACAGCTTTTTTGCTCCGAAGAGAAATTTCTGGATACTTTTATGTTTCTCCTTTTTATAGTTCTGAATTATTTGTATTTTCTACTACAGGAATTTCCTTATATTACCTTTATAACTAAAAGTATGGCAGGGGTAAGGGTAAAAAATAAAACCATCAATAAAGCTTTTCCATTTTTGGAAAAGGAAAAAGGTTAATCACTGAGAAGCACACAAATAAAAAAAACTGATGATTCCTCCATATCATCCAAATACATCCATTAGAATTCTGATAAATTTCCTGCCCAATTATTCTAATAATCATATGTTTGAATAGATGTACCAAAATCTAACCAATCCTTTATAAGGGCTATTAAGAGTTTAATATTCTAATAAAAATGAAGTCAAGTGTCAAAGTCTGAACTCAACAGATTTAATGTATCTAAAGAGGCTCTAACACACAAAGTTTGGAAGGCCACAGAGGAAAGAATACCTGGCCGCAACCTCACGAGCAAAGAAACTCATGTATTCAAAGAGATGAAAGCTATGGAAAAAAGTCTAAAACCTAAAGAGTGTGGGCTTTCATTAAAATTTTAATTTCAAATGATTATGGATTTTATTTCTAGAAGTTATACTTGGTTCTCTTTCAAATTGACTTGGTTTACTTTTACAGAATATTTTTTACTCCTTCCTCTACTTCATTAAATAATTAAAAATTTTAAGTAAAATTATTTTATGTTCTAAACCCAACAAATCCACCATATGCCTTTCTTAGGGATCTAATTCTGTTGTTTATTGTGAGTGAGTTAGTCTCACAGTAACTTCTTGGCTCATGTACTCTGTACTCCAGATTGTAAACTTAGGTCTGACATGGATTGCATGTGGTAAGCCTTTGAGGCCTAGGAAGAGAGACCATTATACCAGGGAGAATGTGCTTTTGCCAGTTGCCCTGGGTATTATCAATCTGATAACTTTAAGTTACTGTCTCAGCTTGGAGTTTTCCCAAATTATACAGGTAGTATAAACTTCTAAACCGGAGAAATTTTTCAGGGAAGAATTTCTTCCTCCAATCTAGAATACAGGCCAAAAAGGTAATTTTCTTAATCTTTCTGCTGGTGAGTACAGTTTTTTCTAGTCTTTTCTTTTACCAAAGATGTTATCCTTTGAGGGCCCAGCTGTATGCAAGTTTTATTCCAATTTCTGACCTACACAAGCCCAAGAAGACCTGATCTGTTATGCTTTAAGAAGAAATATAAACAAGCATGGATGCAAAAAAAAAAAAAAAAAAAAAAAGAAATGTAGGCCGGGCGCGGTGGCTCACGCCTGTAATCCCAGCACTCTGGGAGGCCGAGGCGGGCGGATTGCTCAAGGTCAGGAGTTCAAAACCAGCCTGAGCGAGACCCCGTCTCTACCATAAAAATAGAAATAAATTAATTGGCCAACTAATATATATAATATAAAAATCAGCCGGGCATGGTGGCGCATGCCTGTAGTCCCAGCTACTCGGGAGGCTGAGGCAGGAGGATCGATTGAGCCCAGGAGTTTGAGGTTGCTGTGAGCTAGGCTGACGCCATGGCACTCACTCTAGCCTGGGCAAAAAAGTGAGACTCTGTCTCAAAAAAAAAAAAAAAAAGAAATGTAAAAAAGTGATGGACAGAAAGTGGTAAATGCCCCCAAAGGCAACCAAAGTTTAAGCAACAAATTAACACTCTGTCAGCTCCTTGTTTTTGGCCTCTTTCATAATTGTGGTCTCAGCTGTGCTTTTAAAGGATATTTGTTATATTTTATCCAGCATTTTTAAGTAGAATTAAGTTAAGCTTTATAATTTAATTAATGTATGCAAATGTTCTGCTGCTATATAGTCATTTATTCTCCCAAATACAAAGGTCCTAGGATTCTTAAAAAGTTGAAAACACCCATCTTATAGTACCTATTGATCTTTGCTAAATATCATATATTCTTTTCATCTTAAGAATGTATTTCAACATTCACTAATTATGACTAATTAAAGATTTGGTTCAATACTTACTTTTACTTTGGGTTTAGGTGCAGGAATCACCTTTTTCTTTGCTCTAAAAGGTTAAAAGAGAGGCCATTTTAGTATCAGTTATTTCACTCATTAGAAAACTATAACATAGAGACTCTTAATTATGTGGGTAAACAATTCCTTCTGCTATTTGGAAAGCTCTTCTGGTGAACTATATATAAATGCTCAGTTTACATATGAATACACAGCAAAAAGCTAAACAATTAGCATAAAATATGAAATGTAGATGACATTTTAAAAAACTTAAATATGAATACATAAAACATAACATCAATCAAAACAGGCTAACAAAGCTGTCTAAGGAGACTTACTTCAAAAAACTGGTAAGAATCTACAATTATTTGTAGAAAAACAGAGCTTCAAGGAACTTCAAGCTCAAATTATTTATGTTTTTGGGTCTTCCGGTGAGGACCGGAAATCATGCTAGACAAATTCTAAAAGAGCTGTTAATACTTTCAAGCTCAAATAAAATCTTGCCAAGAAGTTGTGAATGAGATTTTACTTAAAAGAACTTTTTAATGTAAAAATTCAAATAAAAAAATGTCAAAATGACACTGGGAAAATAAAGGTAAGAAAAATAACTGTGGAACCTTAGATCTTTTAGAAACAAGTGAGAAAAGGTTTGAAGATTTAAAAAAATCTTCTGAGTCCTATATAGTAAAAGAAAGTACTCAAGTGTTTGTTAAATAATTAAAGTATTGATAAACTAAAATACCTTACCTTGCGTAACTATTCCTACTTTACTAGGTTAAAATGTCATCAATTAGATTAACAAGTATCTTGATTAAACTGTCAAATTACAACTCCATTAAGGAAATAGTAATTTTCAAAGTTTGGTTTTCATAAAAAAAAAAAAAAAAAAATTAGGCAAAAGACTTCCAGCCCCATCTAGACCATAGATTTCTACTTTTTGGTACAAAACAAAACAAAAATAAGTGATGATAATGAAGCTTTTAAAAAAAAAACAACTGAGGGAGAGGACCTACATTAACACCTCTAGAATTAAAGGAATGAGTTATTTATACCAGAATTGTAATGCGTATGTGGGTTTAGAACTACAGTGTCCCCCCTTTATCCACGGTTTCAATTTCCTATTTCAGTTACCCACAGTCAACCAAAGTCTGAAAATATTAAATGGAATATTCCAGAAATACAGATATTATATTCAATTTTATATTACATAACTTTTACTATCATATATTGTTTAAATTGTCCTATTTTATTATTAGTTATTCTTGTTAATCTCTTAATATGCCTAATTTATAAATTAAGTATATACTATCATAAGTACATATGCATAGGAAAAAACATAGTATATATAAGATTTGGTACTCTCCGTAGTTTCAGGCATCCACTAGGGATCTAGAAACATATTCTCCAAGGATAAGGGGGGACTACTGTTTAGGGAAATTAAAACCATAAGTACTATTGATACATATATATATGTATATAAAATTTATTTGAAGAATAAGAAACCACTTGCAACAAAGTAAACCTACAATGTATGAAACCAAACTACTTAAAATTTACATTCAAAAAATGAGAATAAGAACTAAAAACCACAACCAACTCAATACATCCTTGATTATATACAGTCGACCCTTAAACAACACAGGTTTGAACTCACGGGTCCATTTATATGCAGATTTTCTTCAACCTCTGCCATCCCTAAGACAGTAAGACCCTCCTCTTCCTCAACCTACTCAATGTGAAGACAACAAGGATAAAGGCCTTTATGATGATCCACTTCCACTTAATGAATAGTAAATATATTTTCTCTTCCTTATGATTTTTAAAATAACATTTTCTTTTCTCTAGCTTACTTTAAAAATACAGCGTATCATACATATAATGTATAAAATATGTGTTAAAATGTACAAAATATGTGTTAGTGGACTGTTTAAGTTATCCATAAGGCTTTTGGTCAACAGTAGGCCACTAGTAGTTAAGTTTTTGGGAAGTCAAAAGTTATACATAGATTTCTGATTGCATGGCAGTTGGTTTCCCTATGCGAGCAATGTTCACGGGTCAACTGCACTAACAGTGTGTTCTTCCCCCAAACTAAAAAATTCCTATACAACAATATACGAGAGGAGGAATTTTATAATGTTGCCCAAAGGATGTTAAACAGAACTCTTAGCAGAATACTGACTTAAAGCATTCAGTAACTTGCTAATTTTTAATTTTAATAACACTAAAACCACACTTATAGGCTACAGAGAAGTAATTCTAAGCTGTAGATAAAAATAAAACTCTTGCGGAGTTGATCAATATTCACCCAAAAGTTTAACCACAGAAAAAAACCTGCCTTTGAATTGTATGTCTGGGGATAAGAGATCTTTCACTAGTAATTACATCACTAAGGAAATATTCAGTTTTGAACAGAAGGAAGGACATGAAGAGTAGGTTAATTTTGTGGCATACAACCCTCTGTAGGGCATGGAAGGTCAGTATGTATAAGGATCTGTCCTAGGAAGCTCAGGGGAGCAGAGGGCTGTGGGTTACCTATACAGATGGCCATGAAGAGGTAGAGAAAAAAGACACAAAGAAAAGACTGGAAGATGGCCCAGGTACAAAGAAAAAAAGACACACAAAAAAGACTGGAAGATGGCCCAGGTACAAAGGAAAAGCCATCTTGCTTCTAGGGCTCCCTACTAATAGAATCCCAGGCTGATATGTGTCACAATATGGATTTAGTAGGTATTTAGAGAATAGTCTGACAACTATTTCAATAGATAAATACGTTCTGAGGTCCAAACAGTCAAAATGACTGTTTTTTTAAGATGGTAATAAAATGGAGATTGCCTACGTGTACACTGAAGTTCTACTTCAACTAGCATTTAATAAATGATACTTTTGTTTCTTAAAGCACATAATGTGAATAAAAATAAATGAAGCAATCTGGAATCTGCATTTACTCACGGAGCAGAAGTAAGATGGTTATGTACACTTCGGCTTTCCTTAAAAAGCATTCTGGAAAAATTAAAAGGACACAGTTATTTTTTATAACAGATAATATGATAATTGTTTTATGTATTTTTTAATCACTTGACTTTTATTTTTATTTTTTATTTTTATTTATTTTTTTTGAGACAGAGTCTCACTCTGTTGCCCACGCTAGAATGAGTGCCGTGGCGTCAGCCTAGCTCACAGCAACCTCAATCTCCTGGGCTCAAGTGATCTTCCTGCCTCAGCCTCCCAAGTGGCTGGGACTATAGGCATGCGCCACCATCCCCGGCTAATTTTTTGTATATATATATTTTTAGTTGGTCAATTAATTTCTTTCTATTTTTAGTAGAGACGGTGTCTCACTCAGGGTGGTCTCACTCAGGGTGGTTTCGAACTCCTGACCTTGAGCAATCCGCCCACCTCGGCCTCCCAGAGTGTTAGGATTACAGGCGTGAGCCACCACGCCTGGCCTTGACTTTTAATAGTCTGTTACGTTGTAATGGTACAAATATACTCAATAATGTATTTTGTGGAGAGTTTTATATTACCTCTATTTATTGAAATCTTTTAATAGATCAATAGATCCTTTTTGTTGATTTAAGAGAGAGCACTCTAAGATTATGGGTTGAGATAGACAAGTTTATCAATTTTTACATTCTTAACTCTTGAGGGCTACCTTTAGTTTCTTGAGATATCACTCCCTATACTGACTATTTTCAGCAGAACCTAAGGCTGTGTCTCCTTTCCTATGCTCTAAATCCCTTATTCAGTTCCTTATCTGTACATTACCCATATGAAGTCCCCCAACCAAAGTTCAAAATCCTTTGGAAATCTTCTTCCCTTCCCTTTTCTCCACTAGCAAATTGAGGTGCAAAAAAGTAAAAGCACTTGATAAAAAAGTCACCTTTATGCCTATCTCTACATCTCTATGTCCACATGACTAATTGGTTTATCTTTTTTTTTTTTTTTTAATTTCACCGTATTGTGAGTGTATAAATGTTTCAGTTACATATATTGCCCTTGCCCCATCTGGGTTAGAGCTTGAAGCATATCCATCCCCTAAACAGTGTGCACTACACCCATTAGGTGTGAATATTCCCATCCCCTCCTCCCTATTCCCACCTGCCCGATACCCGATGAATGTTACTACTAAGTGTGCACATAGGTGTTGATCAGTTAATACCAATTTGATGGTGAGTACATGTGGTGCTCGTTTTTCCATTCTTGTGACTTTTAAGTGTTTGACATTTTCAAACCAAAGATCATCTAACTGTATAGGATATTGGACACATATGTTCTTAGCAAAATCAATGTCACACATGTGTATGTCTGTGTGTCTTTAATAATAGCAATAATAAGAAAGTAAAATAAAATCCAGGAAGTCACATTTCTTACCTTGCCTGCATCCAGCCCTTAGGCCACAAGGGCTTCACCTCTGTCTCCATAAAGGATTTAAGATAATCCTCAGCAGATTGGCTTTTATTTGGCTCTAACTCATAGCATCCCAATTTGATCTCAACAAGGTTACATAACAAAGCTCTAAACAGATTGAAAAAATATGTATATAAATCTGACTATAAAATTATAGAAAATTAAGTTTGAAACACATTTTTTGAAAAGCACATAATTTTTTTTTTTTTTTTTTTGAGACAGAGTCTTACTCTGTTGCCTAGGTTAGAGTGCCATGGCATCAGCCTAGCTCACAGCAACCTCAAACTCCTGGGCTCAAGCGATCCTCCTGCCTCAGCCTCCTGAGTAGCTGAGACTACAGGCATGTGCCACCATGCCCAGCTAATTTTTTATATATATACTTTTAGTTGTCCAGCTAATTTCTTTCCTTCTTTTTTTTTTTTTTTTAGCAGAGACGGGGTCTCACTCTTGCTCAGGCTAGTCTCAAACTCCTGAGTTCAAACCATCCGCCCGCCTTGGCCTCCCAGAATGCTAAGATTACAGGCATGAGCCATCATGTGCCAAAAAGCATAAATTTGACAGCAATAATACAGAATATTATCTAAAGAATTCAGAAAATGACATGAAGATAAATAATGTTTAACATACATTATTCATTGCACTATAGTCAAACCCTCAATATGAAGAAAATTTCCTTTGATAACTTTAATCAAGGCACTGAAGATTAAAAGCTATAGGTCTCTACTTGGGGTATAAAAGAATTGGTAAGAGAGATGGCTACAGAAAGCCTACTGAGCATTTCGCTTTCTGAAACCAGTATGACTTATAATATTAGAAGGTTAGATTATAAAAAGTATTACAATGTATCTGAAAATAAGTGATAATATTCTAAGGATATTAGGACCAAATTAATTTTCTTTTGAATATTTTTTCCCTCAATACTAATCTTTGGTTGCTTCCAAACTAGTTTTATATTTACCATAGATTATTTTTGCTAGGAATCTTACTTCTGTATTATATATGTGGCTAAAAGTAGAAACTTATTAAATCTTACCTGATGGTGTCATCCCAGTGGAATTTCTTTCTTGGTCCTATGACACGTTTCCCCGGCTTCTCATCATCATCTTCCTCAGATCCATTTTTTTCTCGTTCTTCATCTGTTTGCAATCTAAAAATGAAAAACATCTTATGAAGCAAAGTTTTAACCCTACATAGCCTATAATATGCTCCATAAACACTTGCTGAATTGCTTAATCGGCAATTAACTCAACTTTAAAAACTCTGAAAATTACTATTTCCTTAATGAAGTTGTAATTTGACAGTTCTAATCAAGATACTTGTTAATTTAATTGATGACATTTTAACTTAGTGAAGAAGGAATATTCCCACAAGGTGAAGTGTTTTAGCTTGTCGGTACCTTAATTATTTAACAAATACTTCAGTACTTTCTCTCACTATATAGGACTCAAAAGATTTTTTTAAATCTTCAAACTTTTTCACACTGGTTTCTAAAGGGTCTAAGGTTCTACAATAATTTATTTTACCTTTTCTTTTCCTCTTGTCATTCTGACATTTTTTATTTGAATTTTTACATTAAAAAGTTTTTTCTCTAAGTTAAATCTCATTGACAGCTTCTTGGTATGGTTTAATTTGAGCTTGAAGTTCCTTAACTCAAATGACAAGGTAAAGAGGATCTACCTTTCCACGTAATATTTTGAATTTGGAGGGAGTTATAAAGTAGTTTGGTAAATAAGGTCTTTGGCCTATAATATAAAGGCACAAACACTCTCATCATTTAGGTCAGGAAGTATTTGTGTCCAACCCTAGCTATTCAACTTGGCCAAAATGTGGTATGTCTGACTGGTGTCAGTTCTTGCTTTGCTCGTATCCACATCTGTAATCAACAGACGTCTTTTGCCTTTGACTCCAAAGCAACTGAGTGGGAAGTGACATGCCATTTAGAAAACATTCAATTGGCCGGGCGCGGTGGCTCACGCCTGTAATCCTAGCACTCTGGGAGGCCGAGGCGGGCGGATCGTTTGAGCTCAGGAGTTCGAAACCAACCTGAGCAAGAGTGAGACCCCATCTCTACTATAAATAGAAACAAATTAATTGGCCAACTAATATATATAGAAAAAATTAGCCGGGCATGGTGGCGCATGCCTGTAGTCCAGCTATACTCGGGAAGCTAGGGCAGGAGGATTGCTTGAGCCCAGGAGTTTGAGGTTGCTGTGAGCTAGGCTGACGCCATGGCACTCACTCTAGCCTGGGCAACAAAGCGAGACACTCTGTCTCAAAAAACAAACAAACAACAACAAAAAAAAACATTCAATTATGTCATGTCAGTAGTGTATATGGATTTCTACTTGAATATGAGGTCCATGCAACACCAAAATACCAACCCCTAACAACTAAAAGTAGTCATCAAATGCAAAAGTCAGCCCAAATAGAAGAGATACATACTTGGCACACTTAGCTTGACTACGAGCCTGGCAGTCCTCCTGGTATTTAAATAGCTGTTCAGGCATGACATTGCTAACAGCCAGTTTCAGTTTTTGCAGAGGTTCTCTTAAACGATCATCCTGACAAAACAAAACATACTAAAAGTTTTTTTAAACATATTTACAAAACTTGTTTTGTAAGCCGATCCTCAAAAGATAAAATTTGTTTTAGATATTGATTACACATTTGAAATAGCATATTAAAATACAGACAGCACTGACTTTTCATAATGTACACTAGATATAAATTAAGATGACGACCTTTCTCAGTCAAGAAAAGCCCCAGTTTTTGCCTGTTGCCCTAGCATAATTATTAACAGTGCTCCTTTACACTCTTTTTTTTTGAGACAGGGTCTTGCTCTGTCTTCCAGGCTAGAGTCGGTGGCTTCATCATAGCTCACTGCAACCTCAAACTTTTGGGCTCAAGCAATCCTCCTGCCTCAGCCTCCCCAAACGCTGGGATTACAGCATAAGCCACTTGTGCCCAACTCCTCTACACTCTTAAAAATGCCTCAAGAACACTTTAACTATAATACAAATGATTAAATAGAGGAAAAAAAAATCCACTTTAATCCCAGCACTTTGGGAGGCCAAGGCAAGAGAATCATTTGATGCCAAGAGTTAGAGATCAGCCTGGGCAACATAGCAAGACCCTGTCTCTACAAAAAAAAATGTTTAAAAAATTAACTGGGCATTGTGGCACATGCCTGTAGTCTTAACTACTTGGGAGACTGAGGCAGGAGGATCACTGGAGTCCAGGAATTTAAGGTTACAGTGAGCTATGATCATGCTATTGCACTCTGGCCTGGGTGACAGAGTGAAATCCTGTCTCAAAAACCAATAAATAAAAATTCTACATTGTAAAACTACTACTGGCTAATCCCTTTATGATGGGGAGCCAGTACCATAAGAAGAAACACTGCTGTGGAACACACAATTTGGATTGGGTGACTAACAGGATGTTGGCATCCTGTTCTCTCAGTTATTATTAGTAATTGTGATTTATGCTGCAAGCAAAAATGCAAGATCAAGGTCAAAGTGAAAGAGGAACCTAGAAACTCTTATCCATGTGGATTCAGGGCAAAAAGGAAAGCAAGTAGGTTTGTATCTGACAGCTTTAATTAGCCAATTTATTATTTTCATTTTACAAATAACAATGTATATATGTAACTATTTAAAACATACTTTTATCACTATCACTGTTGCAGAATTATTATAAGACTTTGCTTTTCTTCACAGAAACAACTGTTTTTATTTATTTATTTTTTTTCTAATTTTTTTTATTATTATTTTTTTTTTTACTTAGCCTTGCCTAAGCAAGACTTCAAAAAATTTGGTTACCAACTCATAACTGTTTCTCTCCACGGAAATCTTTAGTAAAAGGCGAAAGATTTATTCGTTTTGAAGAGAAACCAGAGTATAGAAACAACTGTTTTTAAAATGTGATTTTTGGTAAAGAGAAAGATTTTTAAAACACAATTAATATTACCAATAAGCAATTTAACCTAGTCCATGCATACCAATTAATATATAACACATATGACAGTGTCTGCTATAAAATCCTATTTTTAAAAATGTGAGCATCAAGTGTCATAGCTCCTAAATGATCACTTTTAAAGAATTATGTAGCTGAAACTGTCTGGAAACAACATAAATATCCATCAGCGATAAAACGGACAAATTAATTGGGATATATTCATACAATGGAGCACTGTACAGTAAAAAATGAATGGATTTCTACTACATATGGACATAACATAAAATTGAGTTACATAATATTGAGTGGCAGAAAGTTTCAGAAGAAAACAGTATATCTCTATATGGAGCTCAAAAATTATGCAAAACTAAATCATATAATATTTAGGGATACATATTTATGTGACTAAAACTATATAAAGAAAAGCAAGGATAAATGTCTTTCTTCTATAGCCAAAAGGATATTAAATAACTTCAAACATCACACTTCAAATGTTCCTTAAAAAATATAATCTGCAAAAAGCTGATTTTCTACTTCTAGTTCTTTTTTTATTAGTACCCATTTCTGTCATGTGAACTTATGGCAGTAAGCTCCAACTGCCAATGTCTGAAGGAGCCACGCAAAGGCACAAAATCTGAGACTTCAAACAAATTTCATTTGTTTATTAATTTGCTTTAAATTGAAAAAAAAACTATAGTTTCTCAAATCAAAATAAGCATTTTATTAACAAATGTGAAAGACAAAAAAAAAAAAGAAGTGAGTACTGATATAAAGAATTATGTTTGTCAGAGCACACCTTAGAAATTCTACGGCTTAGAATACATTTTTTTCTCATAAAACCTATCAATTAAAGTATTTGCTTTCAGGGGATCTAACATATCTTTAATAATCTCTTATGGTTATTATAAATACATACAATATGACCATAAAGCAATTAAGATGCAAAGGCCCCAGTCAGAAACAAGTCTCTACCTTCCAGGTTATGAGACCCCAAATGCAGATATTATTATTCTTCTTACCTGGACATTGAGATGTAATTTCTTCAGACGTTTTACCAGTGTTTCTTTATTGCATGGCACAAAAGCTTCAAGGTGGGAATACACACCACTACGAATGACAGGGCCTAGTTCTTGTAGCTGTAACTCAATGCTGACCAAAAAAAAAAAAAAAAAAAAAATCAACAATAAACCATATAGACTTTCTTTTAGGTGACACCACATAAAGCAAGAAGGCAAAGGCAGTTGATTGTTTTCATTTTATTTTTCCATGATTTCCTCCATTTTTTTTTCTTTTTCTGAGACAGAGTCTGGCTCTGTCACCCCAGCTAGAGTGGTGTAATCACAGCTTACTGCAACCTCGAACTCCTGGGCTCAAGTGATCTTTCCTGCCTCAGCTTCCCAAGTAGCTGGGACTACAGGTGTGGCTAATGTGCCTGGCTAATTTTTTCTATTTTTAGTAGAGATGGCGTCTCACTCTCAGCTCAGGCTGGTCTCGAAGTCCTGACCTCAAGTGATCCTCCCGCCTCGGCCTCCCAGAGTGCTAGGATTACAGGCATGAGCCACGACCTCTGGTCCTAGTATTCTTCATGCAAAAAACCCCCACCCAATAACTACTAATGCTACAGAAAATAGTTCAAGTCTAGTTTAAAAGCAGAATTTATATGACCACAAATAAGGAGGCAATAAGGCAATACCTTTTTGGTGACGGGGCAAAGTCTAAATTTTTGGGTAAAGCTCAAAAAATCCATCATTAACCAAAAATTTATTTCCTCAAGGAAATATTATACTACCACTCTCTCTCCACAACAACTGCTACCTGAACGTGTCATAGTTTCACTGAGTTCCTAGAGTATTCTTTTCCTTATAAGTGTTTGAAAAAAGTAAAGATTCAGAAGAGGTAAAGCCCTTCTAACTAAATATATAAGCTATCTTACCCATCTTTGTTTCTTTTATTGTGTCTGTACTACACAAACTATATATAGTATTTAATAGTTTGTCAATTCATTCAAGTTCTCCAGTTCCCATTTCCACTTAAAAATTAGGTTTTTGAGACAGAAAACAAGTTATTCAATGTGTATTTAGCCTAATAGCTATTTTTTTTTTAAAGAGGAGAATGGTTTGTAACAGCCATCATATTTTCAGCTGGACACACCTACTAATAAATAATTGAGGTGTCTCCCAACATGGAAGACATTTTACCTGGCAGCTGCTACTGTAGAAAGATAAGAGATGCTAATTTGAAGGTCAAGACCAAATTGGGGCTCTTGGCAACAACCTATGTCTAAATCATCACATTCTATTATAGGAGAAGGTACAGGCAGACTTAAGTATTTCTCATAAATGTAAGATGCATCTGAAAATCCAATAAATAGCTTTTTGGGAAGAAAAGAAACTCTATCATATCTAATGTATCCATAACTTCTAAGATATACTGCAATTTCAGAAAAAAAAAAAAAAGAAATATGGGAAAATTATTCTCCCTGCAATTGGTAATAGAAAATTCTTGGTATTAGAAAAGCCAGACAGACAATTAAAAATGGCAAAAAGTTTAAGAACTGTAAGAACCAGAGGGTCAAATGCAAGGGTGCATATGGAATATAATCACTATGACTGTGAGGTTCTGTGTATAAACATTTGGCAACCAGTATGTGGTTAAATCTTTATTAAAAGTCTAGACTTTAGGTAGGAGGCCTTTTAGGCTTGCTCTATTATTAAAAATTAGTTGAGCTAATATAAAAAAAATAAAAATATAAACTCCAACTACTAAGAGATGACAGGTAAGGACAGACTGACACAATGACCTACTTATAAAAGTAAAAAGGTTAAAAAGGTTAACTCAGCTATAGGAAAAGCTGACTCTCTGATGAGAATACAATTGGTAAGTCCTTTTATATTGAGATTCAAGTCACTACTCATTCACAAGTTCCTTAAAGGAACATCTAACAAAGAGATGGCAACTAGGTCTCACTGCAAGCATCCAGTACCAGCTCCAGACTACCAGTAATACCTACCTGTCTGGAGCAATTTGTTAGGCAGAAATGTGTTCGGCTGAATCAAGATCATAGGCAAAGAGTGTCACAATTTGTTAGCAATGTCTGCTTCATTCAACAGGGAACAAAATCAAATCAGCATGTTGTGTATTTGTTGATCCAGATCAAAATTCAACGAAGCAAAAATAAACAGGGTTCCCCCATTCCAGCAAATCCATCCCTTTTTTTCCCCTAGCATAGGAAGCAATGGTGAGGCAGAACCAATACGCCTAGATAACTACACAGGAATTACTATCCCTAATAATTATGTCCCATATGCCCTTAGAACAACAACTCAGTTCAGAAAAATAGCGCATGTTTGTGCAGGAATGTGGAAAAAGAGGCTGGGGTAATAAGAAAGTGACTAAAAGGGAAAAAATTCAACTCTGAACACCGGGACTGGAGGCACAGTGGAACTGGAGGCACACTCTCTGTGAAATAAAAAGTAGATGGGCTCCAAAAAACTAGAAGATTTAAGATATGCATGGGAGGAACGAACAAAGAAGCCTATTAATGAAATGCCGTATTCTGCTTATTTGAGATGCTATGTCCCAATGATAGTCTTTTGACTCTCCCAGAGGAGAAATAGTTGTTCTCTCTTACAGAAGAGTAAAATAAAAGAGAACAGTCTCAGTCATAAGAGAATGAGCTGATCTAGTACACTCAGGGCTCTCAGGTGGGAAGAAAAAGAAGAGCTGGTCAGATCCCTGATTATAGAATCTGGGGCAGCTCTAATCAGTGATGGCTACACTGTCATTGAGTCTTGGATTTTAAAAGGGGGGCTAGGGAGCTAGGTAAAAGAAGGTGGCACAGCCAGGAAGCATTTGCCTGGCTTCTAGGCAGACAGAATGAATCTGAAAATTCCTGTCTAAAATAAATAAGAACAGAATGAGAAACGTCTCTGCCACCATACTAATAGCACACTATGTTATGTTTTCTGAGTTTATGTTTAAGTACTCCAGGATAATAGAGATTGTAATTAATTACAACACTTATCAAGACCAGTGAACCAATCAGTCTTTCTTCATATCTCATGAGAAACTATCTCCATTATGTATTTAAAAGTCAGGAATCATAGCATTAGAAATACTGCTTTCCTGCGTCTTTCTATATGATGCTACTAAACCACCAAGAGCAGGCATACATTATTTTCATCAGAAAGGAGTAAAATCTGCTGCTTTCCTCGTGAGCACTTTTTTGCCCAGTTCTGTAGCCAATTATATAACTGATTCCTGCAACCAATGGTTAATATCTACCAGCCAGTATGTTTACAAGTATGGCTTATTTGACCACAATCTTAGAACCTACAGCTTCATTAATATCAAACTCAAAGAGTGTAAAATTATGGCTAAGTTACATACAAGTTCATTTAAACACAATCTGTATCATATATTGGCACTCATTTTTCTCATTCCTAATCTAACTTCTTTTGTTTTCTCCACATTACCTCCATCATATCTCACAATCCTGACTTCTTTAAGAAACCACACTTTCCAATTGGCTAGAAAAGCTTTTATGAATTATAATTAACCCCACTAGATATCAATGGAATTATTTTCCCCATGTATAAGTAATGAAAAGCAGACGGAAAATCATGCCAAATCTAGTGGTCCAGCAGAACCAACACACTGGGAAGCATAATTCTGCTAAGAAACTTAACACTAATCATATATGCTGTAAGGCTGAAAAGAAGAGCTAATGCATGAGACTAGCCAACCACTCAGCATCTGTCTCTCAAAGGCCTACTACATTTTAAAATAAATCATTCTTAAGGTTTTTTTTAGTCAAAGAAGAAAATTACTTACTCCAGAAGAATATTATTCATATCCTGTGTAAAGAATTTTTTCCTTCCTTCTTCATCAAAAAGTTTGGCAGCCTAGAGAAACATAAGAAAGATATCACTTTCAATAAACAATTATTTTTTTTTTCTTTGAGAGGAGGTCTCACTATGTTGCCCAAGCTGGTTTCAAACTCCCGAGCTCAAGTAATCCTCCTGTGTAGCTGAAATTACAGGCAGGTACCACCACGCCCTTCTGCAACAAGCGATTATTGTACTTTGAGACGAATATCTAATGAAAAAAACCAAAGAACTTCCTATCAGTAGGCTACCACATGAGTTGTGATCAACAGGCAGACAAAGCTATTTGAGAGATCCAAATTCAAGTGGATATTGTGTAAGTTTCCCACAGCTGCTATAACAAATTACCATAATCCTGGTGGCTTAAAACAACAGAAATTTATCTTCTCACAGTCTAAGGTCCAAAATCAGTATTACTAGGCTGAAATCAAAGTGTCAACAGGACTGAGTTCCCTCCAGAGACTCCAGGGAACAACTCATTCCTTGCATCTTCTACCTTCTAGTGGCTGCTGGCATTTCTTGGTTGCAGCTGTAGCACTGCAGTCGTCAAGGCCAACATCTTCAAATCTCTCTTCGCCCTCCCTTCACCTGGCTGAGAATTCTCTGTATGTATAAGATCTCCTCCGCTTCCCTCTTCTAAGGATACACATGATTGCATTTAAGGCCCATGGGATCTAAGATAACACTCCCATCTCAAGATCCTTAACTTAATCACATATGCAAAGATACCTCTCCCCCTTTGCCATATAAAATAACATGCACAGATTTCAGTATTAGAATATGAATATCTTTTGAAGGCCTACTACAGGTATTTTAAAAAATCTGTAAAATTTATATGACCCTAAGAATATGAAAAAACAAAAGATCAATTCCCATAAAGGTTAAAGTTCTTTAGAATTAAATAGAAAAGACTTTTAGATTTAGTATAGGTCACAGTAGGATAAGTACAGTTAACATTAATCAACTGTAAATTTCAAAATAGCTGTAAGAAAGTAATTCAGAGTAAAGAAAAGAGAAATACTTAAGGTGATGGATATTCTCACTTAGTCTGATTTGATTATATGAACACATCAAATTATTACATGCACTCCCAACATATGTACATCATAATATGTAACCAAAAAATAGTATAGGTCAAAGAAATGTAAAGTCCAATCATGTGATCAATCCAAGTTGAAGTTGCAGACATCTATGAGTAGACAAAACAATTTGGTAATATATCTAACAAGAACAGAGATTCCATGACTACATCCTTAAGTTATGGAGTCATTGACATAATTGTAAATAGGATTCACTGTACTCCATCAGGATTACTGACCAGAATATAGTCAACAATCCAGCTGAAATGTGTGGCTGGAGGCAAAAGGCTATATATGGAGGGAGGATAACATCACATATGGTCAACAAAAAAATTTGTAGGGGGGGAGAGGGGGAAAGGGCATTTTTTGAAACCTTAAAATTTGTGCCCCCATAATATGCCGGAAAAAGAAAATTTGTAGAGTTGGTAACCCCCGAGAGGAAGCTAAAAGCCAAACATATAGTGAATAAGTGAAGTAAGATGGAATTGATGGTACACTGTTGAAATAAAAGATTTTTTAAAACATAATTTAACTGATAATGGGTGAAGGGAAAAACAGTATTTAAAAAGAAGCAATGTGAATAATAAATTAGTACTGCCTATTTTTAATAGTTTCAATTATCACAGATCATAAAAAAGTATGAAACTGAAAATTAAGTAAAAATACTTATAAGAATTTTTGATGATATTTCAAACTTTATAACCTTAAGTTTTTGTTTTCCCTAGTTATGGAAAATCAGATTTAGTCATCTAGTAGTCACAAATGTGTATGCATATAAACAAAAATGTCCTACAATACTTATTGGCCTCACTTTTGATGTATTGGTACATATATCTATTTTATTTCTTTTTCTTTTTTTTTAGTGAGACAGAGTCTCACTATGTTGCCCAGGCTAGAGTGCCATGGCCTCAGCCTAGCTCACAGCAACCTCAGACTCCTGGGCTCAGGCAATCCTCCTGCCTCAGCCTCCTGAGTAGCTGGGACTACAGGCATGCACCACCATGCCCGGCTAATTTTTTCTATATATTTTGTTGGCCAATTAATTTCTTTCTATTTTTAATAGAGACAGGGTCTCACTCTTGCTCAGGCTGGTTTCAAACTCCTGACCTTGAACAATCCTCCCGCCTCAGCCTCCCAGAGTTCTAGGATTACAGGCGTGAGCCACCACGCCCGGCCTTTATTTCATTTTTTAAAAATGCTGGTTTTTACCTAGTAATACTAATGTGATTTCACAACCCACTGATGGATCACAACTCACAGTTCAAAAAACAAGATATTATTTGTTTCCATACTTGTTTACTAAAGAATAAGCTCCTTGAAGAGCTATGATTTACTTAGCTTTGTATCCTTGGTACCCAGGTTAGCATCTATCACAAAGTAGTTAAAACAAAATTTAGTATATATATCTTTGTTTCATATTTGATACATACATATAATATCTGTATTTATCTCAATTTTCCTAAATTCACAAAATGATACGCACAAGACTTTTTAGTGCTTTGGGTGTCTTGTATATTTTTACTATCCACAAGTTTATTAATTTTTGCTGCCATCTCCAAGATAACAGAAAGCAGATGTCTCATTTTCTACAAACATTACTGATTGTCTAACAATGTGTCTGACATTTTATTATACACTATATAATCATCACCATGTTTAATCTTCATAACAGAAATTGGTATTATAGCCCTCATCTTATAAACAAGGAACCTCAACTTTAGAGAGACTACATGATATGCCCCCAAATCACACTGCTAATGTGTGGTGGGATCCAGGATTCAGACCAGCAGCTTTCTGACCTCAACGGTGCAACACTGCCACCCAGCAAAAAGACACTGGCCAAACTGGGTTCTATGTAATTAATAACAATGAAAAAATTAGCCAAGGTTATTATCAAAGGATAAGCGCAAATTAATTAAATAAGCTTAAGAATAATATTTTTATCACTATGTTTCCTACCTTAATCAGATGACCAAAACCAAAGTTTGTAAGTCAAGATAGTCTACAATAATCAGTTAAGGCAAAATTTACAAAGGAAATCACAAAGATACAGTGCACTTTGAGATCCATGAGATGTAAAACATGGAGAGACCTGATCCAATAACCCGAGCAAGCCATACGCTGTCACTCTACCAAGTTATTTGACAATTTTACATGCTATAACTAGAAGCAATTTTTTTTTTTTGTCAAAGCTAAGCAGTAGCAGCAAATTTTTGAGATGTGCTTCCTAGAGACGATAAAGATTGGGCATGGGGGAAGGAGGCAGAAATATAGGAATAAAGTCAGAATTAAAACTTTAAGAAAGGGCTTTCGTTGCCGATAGCGCGCACGCAAACATGGTGAACGTTCCTAAAACCCGTCGGACTTTCTGTAAGAAATGTGGCAAGCACCAGCCCCACAAAGTGACACAGTACAAGAAGGGCAAGGATTCTCTGTATGCCCAGGGAAAGCGGCGTTATGATAGGAAGCAGAGTGGCTATGGTGGGCAGACTAAGCCGATTTTCCGGAAAAAGGCTAAAACTACAAAGAAAATTGTGCTGAGGCTTGAGTGTGTCGAGCCCAACTGCAGATCTAAGAGAATGCTGGCTATTAAGAGATGCAAGCATTTTGAACTGGGAGGAGATAAGAAGAGAAAGGCAATAAAATCTTGATGTTACGTTAATTAAAAAAAAACAAAAAACAAAAAACTTTAAGAAAGGGAATCAAAGAAAGGCAAGAGGTTAAACAGTGGAAGAATGCAGCAAAGTAAGAAAGAGCAGCAAGAAACAGCTTATCAGACAGACATGAGCATTTTTGCTGAATATGAATTCCCATTTCCTAAAGAAAATGTATCATCTCATATTTCAAAGAAAAATATGGAGAATTCACGGGTATCAGTAAGTAAAATGAATCTTGTTATTGATAATTTCTTACTAAGGGGTTGGGAAGAAACCGTATAAATCCTGGCATAACTACTGAAGAGCCGGATGATATTTTTTGATATGAGACATGACAGAGCCTTAGAAGATTGAAACACATTCATCACTAACCAATTTTTGTTTAGGGAGTGAGCATGAACATAGAATACAGCAGAATATCAGCCACAGGGACTAATGGTCCTAACTTTAAATCCTGGCTCCACCACTTAAAAATTATGTGGCCTCGGGCAAATCATTTAACCTTTTGAACCTAGTTTCCTCATCTGTTAAATGGGAGAAATACTACTAACTCACATGATCATTGGGAGGATCAGACTATGCAGTACTCAAAATCTAAAAAATCCAGTCAGGGCCACTGTCTCCCGAGAGGTGAATGGGGCCTTGGGAAGCAGTGGGACACAGCAGCACTGTACCCAATCACAGGACTGGTTTTTGCCTAATAAAAATAGCTATTATTATTAATACTAATAATTACATCTTGAAAATCTGAATCACATCCCTAGCACTATTTATTTATTTATTTATTTTTTGAGACAGAGTCTCGCTTTGTTGCCCAGGCTAGAGTGAGTGCCGTGCCATCAGCCTAGTTCACAGCAACCTCAAACTCCTGGGCTCATCCAATTCTCTGGCCTCAGCCTCCTAAGTAGCTGGGACTACAGGTATGCACCACTGTGCCCGGCTAATTTTTTCTATATATGTTTAGTTGGTCAATACATTTCTTTGTATTTCTAGTGGAGACAGGGTCTCACTCTTGCTCAGGCTGGTTTCGAACTCCTGACCTCGAGCAATCCACCCGCCTCAGCCTCCCAGAGTGCTCACAGGCGTGAGCCACCGCGCCCGGCCCCTAGCACTTTTTAAAACCTAGAAGAAACGAAAGGTTTTAGAGATGGGGCAACACAGGATATCAGAAAGCACATACTCTGAAGTCACGTGAATGCTGGTGTTTAAATTCTGGCTCCATCGCTTACTAGCTGTGTGGCCTTGGTCAAGTTATTTAACCTATCTAAACTTAAGTCTCTTATCCATAAAAAGGAAATAATATATATACTTCATACATAAAGTTGAAAAGATTAAATAAGAGATCTATTTGATTAATAAAACTACAGATTATATACTTTTCAAAAAAACAAGCACAGAAAATAGTAAAAGAATGACAACTAAGGAGGAGGGAACAATAAAACAGAATATAAAAGAAAATGTATAAAGACCAATTACAACAACTGAGGTCAGATAAAATCTTTTGTTAAGAGAAAAAAGCCTCAAATTAGGTCAATAAACAAATTTTCATTTCTATTCTATCTATAAGAGAATAAGCTAAAATAAGGGAACTCAAAAAGACTGAAGACAAGCCAGGCCCAGTGGCTCATGCCTGTAATCCCAGTACTTTGGAAGGAGGCAGAAGGACAGCTTGAGGCCAGGAGTTCTAGGCTACAGTGAGCTATTATCACACAAATGCACTCCAACCCGAGTGACAGAGTAAATGCAAATGATGGGGAAAGTTCTACCAAGCAAAAATAAACAAAGAGAAAAGAGTCTACAGGAAAATCACACAAAATTAAAAATCATCATAATGAAGATATAGTCATCAAGAATTCCATGAACCAAATAACCAGCATAGAAATAAACAGCAAAAACTATGGTAGAGACAAGTTATAACTAAAAGAAACAATGGCAATGAGATATTTTAACACACTTCTCTAACTCCTGGATGGATGAAGTAGATTAAAATAAGTAAAAATATAAAGGATCTAACTAGTAAGTCAAGACCTCAGAAGAAACACTGAAGAACAAAAAATAGAAAAAAGTACAGGACTGAGAAATAAAATCCACGAGCCAGTTGTTGGAAAAATTAAATAAATATCTTGTTCTTCTAATCAGATATTTAAAATTCAGAAAACGGTTAGCAAAACAAATATAACACAGAGATAGATTAATAAATTTTAAAATATGATTTAAATAGAGAACTCCTAGGAGAAAAAAAGCAGGTTGTAGAATAAGCCCATACATTACAATCCCATTAACATTCATACATTCATTCATTTATTAATTTAGAGACAGGGTCCCACTCTGTTGGACAGACTGGAGTGCAGTGGCCCAATCATAGCTCACTATAACCTCAAACTCCTGGGCTCAAGCAATCAATCCTCTTTCCTAAGCCTCCTAAGTAGCTGGGACTATAGGCATGCACCACCATGCCTAACTAATCTTTAAAAAGGTTTTGTAGAGACAGGGTCTGGCTATATTGTCCAGGCTGGTCTGAAACTCCTGGGCCCACGTGATCCTCCCACCTAGGCTGCCCAAAGTGCTGGGATTACAGACATGAGTCATTGTGCCCGGCCTGTATTACTTTCATAATGGGGGGGGCCCCAAAATGACTAAAATATGGAATAGTTCAAACATGCTTAAGTAATCAAAAAAGGACAATTTAAGCAAGGTTTGGCACATTTTAAAACAAAATATGTGAGATATATAACAGGATATGCAGCTAGTTAAACAAATGAAGATTATGAATCTAAATCAATCTGGAATGTAATCTATTTAAGCAAGCTACAAAGCTCAATTTTTATGTTTGTCCCAGTAGGAACACGATGCACGCTTACTAAAGCTGATTAGCTGGAAAAATATTATATAAAATAACTAGATGTCAACACAGTTTGGACCAAGTTTAGGTACACTTCTACAATGTTACTGTAGTCTCTCTTCTTCACTGTATTTATGTAACTATGTAGCTCATAAAAATTAAATCTATGAAACCTATGCAAAAAATACTTATAAGGTAAATAGCCAATGCCTAAAAGGAAATATAAAAAATAGGAGGTTGTTAGAAGGATTGTGGGTTATTTTTGTCTTTAAAAGAAAAGCATTTATTGTTGTATTTTTAGAGCAAATAAAAGTCAAGAGAATTATTACACTTACTACACGCAGGTCTTCGATACGTTTCTCAAGAAGTACAGGTAGACCCTCTGGGAGTGTAGGTACCACCTTGGGCATAACCTGAGAGGTGTAGGTTGGCTGGGTGGTGTTTCCATTTTCTCCCCCTGATTCAGATAGGGGGCTACCATCAGAAGCAGCATCCAGTAATCTGTCCAAGTCGAAATGATCTAGCATCTCTAGGGCATTTTCAGCTTCCTGAAATAGTTCATGTTCATTTGTGCTAACAAAAATGGGAAGGTCTGGATCAGTGCTGTTAAGATTTAGTTCCGGGATGTCATTCCCCAGTGCTGCAGGAGCACAGGGAGGTTTATTCAGAGAGGAGGGTGATAAGGTCACTGGGATTTTAGGGTTAGAGTCCTTCTTTAATGCATCCTTCTCTTTCTGAAATTTTCGTATCATGGCAGCTATAAGAGAATCTTTATAACGTTTCTTCTTTTTTTCAGATTTGTGTGAATTTAGAGCCACAACTCTGTGAAGAAAAAAAGTGATTGAATAGGCTATGTGATTTCATTTTTTTTAAAATGATCTTTAGCACTTTAACTGAAAATAGAGTCGCCTAACAACCAGCCAAGTTCACATCATACATCTCCAAATGGCACCTCCAGGTGGCTTGTGCTGCAAACTGCCAAAGAAATACAAAATCCACTGTCTTTATCTGTGAGCCTTTACTCACTTCCATGTAGTCTTCCTAGACCCTAATCTGTCTGCTACAGCCTTCTGATTATGTTTCTCTTTCCATACTAGAAACAGCCATGTTAGGCAATCGGACAGGTATGTGTAACTTTTGGTGATAATCTTCTCCCTAGAGGAACAGTGGGGAGGATCTCAGTTTAACTATCACTTCCCTCAAAAAAATATTTTCTAAATCCTATGGCCTATGCTTCTATGTGAACTACAGAATCTAAAAGATCATTAATACCTTAAAGGTAGGCCCATATTTCAGTCTTTGTTATATACCCAAAACCTACAACAGTGCCTTAAAAAAATAAACAGGTACTTAATAAATATTTGCTGAATAAATAAGTTATAAAGTTTAGAAAATAAATTCAATAAAAGGCATTACTTGTAGCCTATGTTTTCAAAGAAGTTTACCTGTAAATAATGAACATTTAAGACAACCATTAGTGATATATAGCTTTTTAAAAAATGATTTCTTAATGACTCAAGGTCATGATTAATGACTGTAATCCTATGTTTTGGAGGGGAGAAATATCTCCCTACATTGACATTCTGGATACTGATAGCCCTAAATTTAAATATATCTCCCAGTTAAGGAGAGGAGGAAAACTCAGCCTCTCATAAGTGTCCTTCCCTTAGCTCTGTGAAAAAGGCCCTGGAAGTAGAGGCAATTGGTAATTTTTGATTCTATGGTACAAATATTTTATTCTTCTGACATAGGCTTTTGAGAAATTTTACTTGGTTTCTAGCAGCACCATCATTACCTAAAGTCACAAGTGTTAAAATAGCTAAAGAAAATCAATGAATTTTTTTATATCATTACAGCCATAAACTGTTTATGTATAGGCTACTGCTATTCCTCAATCCCCAAATAGCGAAGCTTAGTTTAGACAGAGTCTTAGACAGAGTCTCGCTTTGTTGCCCAGGCTAGAGTGAGTGCCATGGCGTCAGCCTAGCTCACAGCAACCTCAAACTCCTGGGCTCAGGCAATCCTATTGCCTCAACCTCCCAAGTAGCTGGGACTACAGGCATGCACCACCATGCCCGGCTAATATTTTCTATATATATTAGTTGGCCAATTAATTTGTTTCTATTTATAGTAGAGACGGGGTCTTGCTCTTGCTCAGGCTGGTCTTGAACTCCTGAGCTCAAGCAATTTTCCCACCTTGGCCTCCCAGAGTGCTAGGATTACAGGAGTGAGCCACTGCACTCGGCCAGTACCAAAAACTTAAAAAACGGTTTGTTCAGTACTATCTTTTCAAACTTATTCTTATTGGTAAAAAGTAATAAGCAAAATACTTAATGGACCAATCTATAAATTTGATCCAAAACACCATGAGTCTCTAAGGTGACAAAGCCTTCTGCTTACTAACAAATATTATAATATTATTACAATATAAGTTAACGGTCATTAATATTCATAAATAATATATTAAATTAGACCCAGCTAAGTTGAATTAATTAATGGTGAATATATCTTTCTAAAAGGAGAGACAGTTACCCTGTGACACTAGTTCCCTTATGAGGTTTAATTTAACATACCCCAGTTGTTTGGGTACTTTTTTCCTTGGCTTCTTCTCCTTTTCCCCTTCCTCTTTCCGCTTCCGTTTCTTCATCTCAATATCATCTTCTTTTATTTTGGGAACCTGCAAAATGATAAAAGAATGCATCATTTATCTAAGTATCAATGCTTTACTCTTTGATGTTAGCAATCCAGGATCCATTTTTCTCAAATGTCAGTGTGCATTAGAATTACTTGTTAAAAATGTAGATTCTTGTGATCCACAAGAATCTGTGGTCTAGTTTTGATTCAGTTATCTGAGGTAGGCCTCATAATTTGCATTTTTAACAAGCATTTTAGTAACTGGTACAAGTCAGTCTTTGGACCATACTTCAAGAAACATTTATCTAACAACATTATTCCTTTCCCAAATATGGTACATGCAAACTCTATAGAATTAGTTACAAATTACATCTTAGGAAAGGTAACAGCTATTAACAATTATTTCTATAATAAATCTTAATCTATCCTAGAAACTTAATTTTATACCAGAAACAGATTATTAAACCACACAGGTAGAGAGAAGTTTTAAAAGAAAATATAATTCTACTATAAGTACCAGTTTTTCCATATCTACATAATTTTAAAATATATAATTAACCACAGATTTGATAAACAATGGTTTATATTTTCCTTTTTTTACATTCATAGTTGTAGTACAAGTTAACATTCAAAAAATATATACTCTTCAGCAAAACACATACTTTAATTGGTTAAAAAAAAGAAAAAAATATATATATACACTATTAATTGAACGTTTTCATTGCAATGTCAGATAAACTCACTTTGGGTGGCTTGTGCTTTTGGTTGTCTGTAATATCTTCTTCTTCAGTATCTGAAGCTTGGCGAAACTGTAGAGTGCCAGTGTTGATATAAAAACCTCCATATTTTGTTGTCAGAGAAGCAGGAACTAATTCATCATACTAGATTAAAAAAAAAAATTTTAAGCTATATCCTACTGTCTTTAACTCTATAAATGCCAAAAAAATTCATTCACCATGGCAGCATCTTCCTTAAATCCTAACTGCAAAACTGACTACAATGAGGATATTTATGAAATAAATTTAGAAAAAGTTAACACCTGGAATAAAAATTAGCTCTGATCATTCAATATATATAAGAAAGAAACTTCTGTAGTAATAAAGCAAATTCTAAATATATCAACTACTGAGAAAAATTGAAAGATTATAGCTACCATTACTTTTTTTTTTGTCCCATTGCTACTATTTTTTTTTTTTTTTCATTTTTTGAAGGGGTAGGGGCTTATGAGGAGGGGTGTTCAGTTGCGTTGTTTGTTTTTGTTGTTGTTGTTGAGACAAAGTCTCACTCTGTTGCCCTGGGTAGAGTACAGTGGCATCATTGTAACTCACTGCAATCTCCAACTCCTAGGCTCTAAATAAATGATCCTTCTGCCTCAGCCTCCCCGGTTGCTGGGATTACAGGCGTGTGCTGAAATGCCCTGCTGGTTTTTTTTATATTTCCTCCTTTCTTTTTGGTAGAGATGGGGGTCTCACTCTTACTCAGGCTAGTCTCAAACTTCTGAGCTCAAGCAATCTTCCTGCCTCAGCCTCCCAGAGTGCTAGGACTACAGGTATGAGCCACCACATCTGGCCCACTGTTACTAATCTTAATGACAAGTGGGTCTGATGAGAAATTGAAAAAAGTAAAAACAGATGATTAAGTGTCTAGATAAGGAACAAATTTCATTTCCCACCATATCAGTATGAAATTTTATTCTTAAGGAGATTATAAACAGGAACTAAACTATTTTATCTATTTTAGCTCTATGCTTTTAAGTGGGGAAAATTTTTTAAACATTTAAAAGAAAAATAGTACATATATTTTAAAGAGAAGCAGAAAAACAAATACCCAGCTCAGGAAGCATATATTTGAGGACCTAGAATGAGCCAGGCACTTTGCTTGGAGCAAGGGACACAAATTGCCTAAATCAGATTTACATCCCCAAGGCTGGATTTTAAGGTTTATCATTATCTCATCTGATGAAGATGGACAAAAAGCAAACATTAACTGAAGGCCAATCTTAACCAAATGAAGGGGTTCAAAGGGGGAAAGAAAAAAGAAACTACTTATCTAATAGCTGAGAGGTATCTGCTACCTGGGGCCCCCAGAACTCTACTTTTGAGGTTCTTCATAAAATCTAGTCTTTCAGAAAGTCAGACTTTTAAGGAAAATTCTTTGCCATGGATGAGGAATGCATCATACACATCTTACTAGTTATTGTAAGAATATTAAGGCTACATACAAAAGTTGTAATTTAAACCTGTATTCTTTTAAATTATATGGAGAATGAAATAGGAAAGAGTGTCCAGTTTAATCACACTGAATTAAAAAGAAATAAAATGAGTGAAGGAAATAAAAAAAAATTAAAAAAAAAATGAGTGAAGGAAAAAAAGGAAGAAAATGAACTATTTTCTTATTATTCTAATTGATACACTACTATAAAGATCTACAGGTAAGACCTCACAGAAAAGGGCCAGTACAATTTGCAAGTAAAGGAGTGATGTAAGGAGTGAAGGATTAAAAGTGAAAAGACTTTGTAGTAATTATTTTGAAAATGTTTAACTGCAATTAAGAAAAATACACCTGTACTCTTTGCTTACATGTACTTGTACAATGCTTTAAAATTTTCAATGCTTCTCCATATAAATTATTTCATTTGGTCCTCATGATACCTTTGTAAGGCAAGAAAGGCAAATATTATTCCCATTTTATAAGTGAAAACCAGCTAAGTACCTTACCAAAGCGATTCTATATGTTTATGGCAAAGTTACTGGTGCCTCCAACCCATCCAACACACTAAACAGCTTCTTCACATGGTAAACACTTTCATCACCCAGTATACAGGGCAGTTTTGACATGCTCAAACTCTATCTTCCCAGGCAATATTTTGCTCAGCTTTCCGTATCAGAACACCCTTCTGGTGAATAAACTCTTCATGAATATTTAATTTAGCCATTTAAGAATGTGTTCAGATGCAATGGACACTGAACTTGAGAATGAGAAGGCCTGGATTTAGATCTGCTGCCAATGACTATTGTGACCCATGGCAAATCACTTAACAATTTTTCAGGGGTTGTAAAACAGGGACGTTACTTCACAAAGTTCTAGTAATATTTTAAAGGGAAATCTAAATAAAAAAGTGTTACTGATGCTTGGTATTAATAATAAAAACATTTTCAGTCCTTTTACAATTTGGCAGCATAAATGTGAGACTAAAAATAATCTTCAAAAGCATTTATTTTAGTATTTTTAGTAGTAAGTAGTACATGATTCTGAAAATTAATTAGAAACAGATTATTTTCACTCTATCAAGTAATATACCAACACTGAAAGCTTACTGATAACACAAACAGCTAAAAGAACAAAAAATCATTTTGTTTGCCCATAATTGTTTTATGTCTGAATTATCTCATAAAAATAAGCAAATAATATGTTTAGGGTAATGATACTGAAGTTATTTTGCAAGTCAACTTGTATTTTAGTTCAATTTCCTCTTTTAAAACAGGGACCTACCTTGTCCTACAAATGTCAGTAACTAACTATAAACTTATACCCACAAAATTTATCCTTACTTACTAAAAGCAGTAGTTTCAAATATTCTTTGCCACAACCCAGGTGAAAAATACATTACACATCAAAACCCAGCACACACACAATAAAAATTATATAATCTACTAGTGATGTACTATGATAGCTCCAATTCTTTAAAAATACTGGTCACACTCACTAAATTGATACATAATCCAATTATAGATGGCTGCCTGGGTTAGGAGGGAGCGGAGAGCTGATAGGCAGGGCACAGAGGATATTTACAGCAGTGAACTATTCTGTGTGATACTATAATGGCAGACACATGTCATCATTAATTTGTCCAAACCCATACAACACCAAGAGTGAACCCTAATGTAAACTATGGACTTTGGTGATAATGATGTGTCACAATGAAAGTTCATCAATTATAACAAATGTATCATTGTGCTACATGACATCAATAGTAGGGGAGGTTGTACATGTATGGGGGCAGGGTATACATGGAAACTCTCTGCACTTTCCATTCAATTTTGCTATGAATCTAAAACTTCACCTACTTTATGCTTTTCAGCATGTTCACATTCATTACCTTATTTGAGTCTCAGAATTCTGGGGGATATGCAAGTCATGGCAGAGAAAACTGGGTGATGCTAAAAGACTAGCTCCTGGTCACATGGTGAATTAGAAACAGAGTTATGACTAGAATCTAGGACTTCTGCACTGAGATTCAAATCAAGGTCAAGACTCCTGAAAACATTCCACACCCTAACATACTGGTTGATGACCTTTTTGGTAATAGGAAGGGCTTCTCTACTTCACAGGGCATCGTCAACATGTTACTTCTACAGACCAGGCTGCCTGTTATGACAAACAAGTTTATGTCAAGACACCAGAAATAATTTAAGAGTATGACAAAGTATCCGGTATGTCTCATGCTTGAAGTTCTTCCTATCACTCTCCTACCTGAATATACTTTAGAACTTTATAACCAAGCACTGTAGCAACAGGAAAAAGACATACTAATTTATGGGTAGTGTAATAGTAACCTAGTGTCATTTTCTGTGCATCCTAGTAATCACTGCACATTGCAGAGTACATAATAATCCCAGGGATTAGATTACTAATAAGAATGGAAGAACATATACCTTACGTATCGCAAAACATGACTTGCCCTCATTCATCTGCTATGATCTAGGGATTGCCACAGTCCCTAAATGCTCTCCTAAATTCCTCTTCCTTTTATAAGAGAAAGAGGATTCCTGGGGAAAAGCTGTAGGGCTTGATGAAAACAGGCTGGTGATACAGACTGGCATTCAGTATACCACCATTGTAGTAAGGCATGGCAGCAATAAAAAAAAATTAAGTATATTTTAAAGATGTCTACCAGACTAATTTCAAGCCAGTGGCATCAATATTCAAGATAGTGTGGTTCTCATCTTGGAAGTCATTTCAAAACACACCTGTCCAAGTTTGGGAATATTAATAAAAATTCAAGATGCAAATACTCTTTGGCCAATAAATTCCACTGCTAGAAATTTATCCTACCCATACATTTGCAGCACTCTATAAATATTCTTCATACACATTTATTTAAGATGCTAAATGTACACAGATGCCCAATTATTTCTAAGCATATAAAACTGGAAATAATTTAGATGTACATCAAATGAGATTAAATAAATTATATAATTTAAGCATATTCTTAACAGTCATTAAAATATATCAATGTTCTGATATGTAAATATTAAAATATGTTGTATTTTAATAGAAAAGCAATGTCTAAAATATGATAGATACTATAATCTTATTTGTGTTAATTTTAAAAAAGGATAATAGGTTGTAGACTTAATATACATGGAAATTTCTGGCCAACTACACAAGATACTTATTAGTATTTACCTCTTGGGTGTGAGGCCTTTAAGGTACTTTACTTTCTACTTCGTCACTATCTTGCACTTTATTGTTGCTTTACCATAAATATATATTAATTTTATAATAAGAAAACACCCAAAATAAAACCAGAAAACCCACAAACACCAAAAATCTCTTGAACAATCTAGAGACTTCACTTCCAGAAATTCTAATTCAGTAAGTCTGACTTAAGACAAATACACCAATATTTTTCACCCCCGATTTTCATCCCTGATTGAGAAGCATTTAGTTTAATACACTGGTTTTCAGCATTTGGTTAGAAATTTTTTCTTTTTTCCCTTTCATTAAACTTCTTTTTGTTCTCAGTTTGGGTAACGGATTATGACAGAATCAATGCTAATTACACATGTCTGAAAATGAGCAACTATTGAAGATCTCAAGGAACTCCTTTAGGAACTGGAAAGGAGTCCAGCACACTGAAAATACCACACTGCTGGTAGAGCACAGGGTCAGCAAATCATGCACTGGGCCGGCCAAACCCAGCCTGCCAGTTTGTTTCCATATAGCTTGCAAGCTAAGAAGGGATCTTACATTTTTTAAATGATTGGAAAAAAGTCAAAAGATTAATATTTTTGTGACACGTGAAAATTATATGACATTTAAATTTCAGAGTTCTTAAATAAAGTTCATTTTAACACAGTCATACTCATTCATTTGCTTATTGTCTATGGCTGCTCTCACACTACAATGCAGAGTTGAGTAGTTGTGACAGAAAACATATGGCCCAGGACAAAGTCTACAATATTTACTACATGGATATGACCCTTTATGGAAAAAAGTTTGCTAAAACATGGTTTAGTATAACAGTGTAATAATGACTCACCACTGACCAACCCAACATTATAGAATTTTAAATCTGCAGTATTCTTTCTTAAAAAAAATCTTTTAAGTAGTGAACACAGCTTTAAAAAGCACAAATAAAAACATTCACTGAACTATTTTTTATTTAACTGACTTCACCTTTGACTTCTACTATTCCACACAAAGAATTTGCTGCTATATTAAAGATGCATTACTCACAGCCTCTGAGTTATCAATAAATGGATCTGTCTCATCATAGCCAAAGCCTATATCAATTAAATCTTGTAGCCGATCCTTCCGGTGTTTACGGGGTTTCCCACCCTGCAAAGAACAGATACGTTAGACTCATTCAGTATTCATGCTGTTTCCATAAAGTTAAAAACACCTGTTGGAAGAATTCAAACAATTTTTATAGATAATCCCTCCTCCAGGAGATTGGGTTTAAGTCCTCCCCCCCCCTCACATCTGGAGTGTAAATTACACTTAGTGACTTGCTTCCAGAGTAGAGTATGAATAGGGATAGGGGTGGGGACAGTGTAACTTTATAGTGGAAAACCTGGCCAACATTACACCTCACCAGGTGATCACAGTGAACATCAAAAGGGATAAGGCACGTTGATAGCATGTATCATTGACACGATGTGATAAAAATTGCACTTTATCTCTGTGGTCTTCCTTTCAAAAGCCTATAACACAGTCTAAGCACAAGAAAAACATCAGACAAATCCAAATTGAAGGACATTCTATGAAAAATGACCAGTGTTCTTCGAAACTGTCAAGATTATCAAAAACAAAGGAAATCTGGGCCGAGTGCAGTGGCTCACGCCTGTAATCCTAACACTCTGGGAGGCCGAGGTGGGTGGATCGCTCAAGGTCAGGAGTTCGAAACCAGCCCGAGCAAGAGCAAAACCCTGTCTCTACTGAAAATAAAACTAAATTAATTGGCCATGGGTTCCAATGAATTTGGAATTATATAATTATAAAATTATATAATTATAAAAAAATTAAAAATAAAAAAAATTAATTGGCCAACTAAAAATATATAGAAAAAATTAGCCGGACATGGTGGCGCATGCCTGTAGTACTAGCTACTTGGGAGGCTGAGGCAGAAGGATCGCTTGAGCCCAGGAGTTTGAGGTTGCTGTGAGCTGGGCTGATGCCACGGCATTCTAGCCTGGGCAAGAGAGTGAGACTCAGTTTCAAAAAAAGAAAAGAAAATCTGAAAATCTGCCATAGTCTTGATGAGCAATAAAGAGAAATAACAACTAAATGTAATGTGGTATCCTGGATGAGATTCAGGAACTGAGAAAGGACATTAGGGTAAAACTAGTAACATCCAAATAAAGCATGGAGTTCCATTAATAGTATGTCCCAATGTTGGTTCCTTAGTTATAACAAATGTTATAAACAATATGAACGTAAGATGTTAACAATAGGGGAAAGAAGGTGAGGACTGTATGGAAACTCTGCATTATCTCGGCAACTTTTCTGTAAATCTAAAACTATTCTTAAAATTATCTTTTAAATGTCATAGAATTATACACATAGACATACCTACAAGAAAATGAAATATAAGTATGTGCAAAAACTGGTAAAATCTGAGGTCTATCGTCCAGTTACTTGAATTGTGCCAATGTCAATTTCCTAGTTTGGACAACCATAAATATGTAAGATATCACCATTGGAGAAGCTGGGTGATGGGCACAAGCAACATCTCTGTACTGTATTTGTAACTTCTTGTTTTTTTTTTTTTTTGAGTGTGTGTTTTGCTGGAACTTCTTGTGATTCTATAATTCTTTTTAAATAAAAAGGTCTTTAAAAGTAAAACAACAATGAAACAAAACACTGTAGATTTCATTATTCAGGTCATATCTTGGCCTCTGGCTGATTAGTTATAAAGAACTCATTATATCTCAGGTATAAAATGTCTCATGTATTTTGAAAGTTATGTATAAGCTCAGTGGAGGCAGTTACAATTATCAGGGCACTACTAAAACAAGTATGGTATGTTAGTTTAATTTTCAAGACTCATTTTAGATACTTAAATTTACTCGCCCAAATTTAACTAAACTTTCTAAACTAAACTAAGCATCTTCTAACACATCTCCCTGCACTATGATTTTTTTTGGTGCCAGAGTGGGGAAAAGGATGCTCACAAAGAGGGGGAAAGAGAGAAAACAATTAGTACAAAGGATTTGCCAACCAATATGTCACCAATGAGCCATAGTGAGCCTTGCAAAAAACAGAAAGTGCAAGATGTGAATCTCTACCACCTAGTTTCATTTTAGTTCTCACAGTGTATACCTCTCAATGTAAAGTGTGATTCTAATGGTTAAAGATGAGTAAGTTGTATGCCACATGGCCCTTAAAGACAAACTGCTTCATCTTGTTTCCATGCAAAGAAATAGTGATCTGTCCCAGTGCTTGAGGGAAAAATGAAGTATGCTGGACTTATCAGAGATGTCTCCAACATGGTGCCACTGCTTTACAGGTAAAGCAAAGGTAATACTGACTACTATGTTACATACTGACATTAAAAAACCTTATCCCCACATAAGCTATGATTCCACTGTATGCTTTTCAGCAGATAAAACTACACTGTTATTATACCATCACCACCAAGAGAGGCAATTATGGTGTGAGATAAAGTAACAGTTCCCATATTTTTAGATTTTACAAGTTAGGTAAAAGTTTCCAAACAATTCTAGGGACTAACACAAGGTGGCAAGGCTTTTATTTTGCTAAATGAAGCCATGGAAGACATAATCTCAGAACGACAATCCTTCTCAAGAAATATTAATACCAGCTGGGCCAATCCTAGCACTCTGGGAGGCCGAGGTGGGTGGGTTGTTTGAGCTTAAGAGTTCGAGACCAGCCTGAGCAAGAGCAAGACCCCGTCTCTACTATAAATAGAAAGAAATTAATTGGCCAACTAAAAATATATATAGAAAAAATTAGCTGGCCATGGTGGCGCATGCCTGTAGTCCCAGCTACTCGGGAGGCTGAGGCAGGAGGATTGCCTGAGCCCAGGAGTTTGAGGTTGCTGTGAGCTAGGCTGACGCCACTGCACTCTAGCCCGGGCAAGAGAGTGAGAGACTGTCTCAAAAAAAAAAAAAAAAAAAAAAAAAAAAAATATTAATACCAACTAGCAACATACATACATACATACATGTGCATATATACAGATGTAGTATACATACACATATAACATATATGTATGCTTAGATGCAACATACATGCTAAATTGTCTTTATTTTTTTTTATTTTGCCAGGTCTGCAAACTGAGACCTCTACATTTGGTTATGGAATTACAGTGAGAATCAGAAGTCAGGGGAAGGGAACAGATACTTGTAGGATCAGAAGGGGTACTTCCATTGTGAAAAAGTTACACATAAGCAGTTAAGTACACGAGGGACAGCTTCACCCTAAAAAGTGAGAGAGGGAGAGCTCTAAGAAGTATATAAAAATACACATATAAAACTAATGAAGAGAACTAGCCCTGCCACATATTAAATATTTTTAAAGTTACAGGAGTCAACATAGATACAGCAGGAATATAATACAGCACTGTTCAGAAATATACTCTACTATATAAGAATTTGAGATGAAAAAGGAAGCATTACAACTCAACAGAGAATGATTAATAAATCAAATAAATGATATTAAAGTAAAATACAAATTTTACCTATCAAATTACAAACTTTTAAATTTTGGAGGATGGAGCAGAAATAGGACTGCCCAAACATTGCTGATAAGAGTATACCAACAAAACCTTTTGGAAAGCAATCTGAATCATCTGCCAAGAGACTTTTCTTATCTTTATCTTATTTGACCCAATAATTTGACTAAGTTTCATAGCTTACTTCAAACTACTACTTAGACTCAAAAGTATCTGTTAAGAACTTATGCCATAGGGAGAAATATGTTAAAATATAAGAATTTAAATATGAAAAGTCCTTGTCCTCAAGAAACTTAAAATAAGATAATCTCAACAAATTTACTAAGCACTCCCCACATGCCAACCTTTGTACATTTTATAGTTACACACAAGCAGTTAAGTACAGAGAGGAGAGGAGAAAGATTAAACAAATAGCTACAGTAGCTATAAACAGTAGAAAGGAAAATGACAGGTTGTATGGAGATCTTTTTAACCAGAGGCCCTAATCAAGGGTTTTTGCTAAGACACTGACACCCAGATGAACACAAGTGGAGTTAAGCGCTAATGGAAGCCACTGAAAGGATCAGCACAAGGAGGTAACTGATGAGATTAGTGTTTAATAAAATCCTCTGGCTACTGTATGAGGAATTAACACAGCTGGGGAGGAGATCAGTTAAAAAGGAAAAAAAAAAACACAGAAATTTGAAAGAAAGTCACCAGTTACTGGGGACATAAAATATATATTTAAAGTACCAATCATGATCATTCACCAAGTGCTATCTTTCCAACTTTTTTCTCACCATTTTCCAACGTGAACACTTGATTCATTTAAACTACCGACTGTCCCCTGAACACACGTGATCACCTTTCCTGGTGCTTTCCCTTTATTTGGAAGTCTCTTACACCTCACTGAATCCTCCCATCCCTCACAGATCAGCCTAAGTTTTAAATCTTTTCTCCAAAATGCTTTCTAATTAAAATCACAAAGAAAATGATTGTTTTCTGCTCTCCTAACATATTTTTTGTCTAGGCATAACTAGCTGCCTATAAGATTTATCTGGGAAAAACTATTAATAAATAACCAGATAGGTTGTGTTGTAATGGAGACAATCAGATATATGCAGAAGTGCAGATAATTTTCAGGTAATTAGATTTAGGAACATCTATGTCTAGTCACATAACTAGTTTATTTCCACTGGAAATTATGACTGTTGTTAATAGTTTGAGTCCATAATCCAGTATTGCAATAAAATGGTTAGTGCTGTTACATAAGTGTGAATCTTATCAATGAGTAAACAAAATAAAGCTTTACTTGATAATATTATTAGTGTGACCAAAATGCCTCCCAAAATATGTTCTTAAAAAAGAACAAGATTTTTACAAAGCATCAAATTGATATAGCATCACAGTAAAAGTATACATTAAAAAGCTATAACATACCCATTTATATTAACAGCCACTTAAAAACAATGTAGTAGAAGAGTACTTATTAGTATAGATGGTAACAAAAGCAGTTTACCAAATGTTATGTATAGTTAAAGCAATTCACAGAAAAGGTAATATCACTGTTCCCTAGGCATTTGAAAAGGTGCTCAACCTAACTGGTAATCATGGAGACAACATCTAAATAACAAGATTGTTTTTTCCACTATCATACGAACAG